ATTAGATAGGACTTTTTATTTTATTTTAAATATACTTTTATTGATTTCAGAAAGGAAGGAAGAGATAGAAACATCAATGATGAGAGTCATTGATAGGCTGCCTCCTGCACGCCCCACACTAGGGATTGAGCCCACAACCTGGGCATGTGCCCTTGACGGGGATGGCACCTGGGACCCTTCAGTCCGCAGGCCAATGCTCTATCCTCTGAGCAAACTGGGTAGGGATATATATATATATATGTATATGTCTTAAAAGACAGAACAAAACAGCCCTTCCAAATAAAGCATCCTGATTATCTGTCTGCAAACTACATACACAGTAAAAAAGATTTTTTTAAAAATTCAACTAATCTCTATGCCTATGCCTTCAAATAAAAAGATTATTCAAAGCTATACGCAAACTCCTGTTACACACACACACACACACCACTTTCAGGAAATGAATGCTGCTGCCCAGCTTGTCCTGTCACTGCCCTGAGCATGATAAACAGACAGACTCCCCGTGGGGCACTCCCAGGCCCAGGTCAGGAAGTAAGGAGGACTCGGTGTGTGGTGAGCAAACATCTGATGAACACCCACCGCGGACCGCCCCCCGGAGGACTCGCCCAGTACCTTCGCCGCGGCCCGCCAGGTGACAGGTGCTCCCCGTGGCCTCGGTCTGCACAACCCGAGGGAGACACTGGGACGGCCGTTTTCACCCGAGCCTGCTGGGGCACAGGGAGATGTTTTGAGGGCAGGCGCACCTCGCTTTATTGCACCCCGCTTTCTCTGTGCTGCACAAAAGTTCCTTTTTTTTCTTCTTTTTTTTTTAACCGAAGGCAAGATCCTCCACCAGCAACAAACAAACCAAAAAAAGATTATGAGTGGATCTATTGCACTCCTTGCTTTATTGTGGCGTCTGGCACCAGACCCAGAGCATCTTCTGGGTGTGACGGTAATAATTTGCACAAAGGGCGAGGGGAACGCAGCCAGAGTGACTTATGTCACATACTGTCGAGTGGTTTTTTTCTACTTTACTTTTTTTTCCTTCCTTTTTTAGGAAGGGAGGCAAGGGAGATGGGGGGGGGGGGGGACCCCCACATCCATGCAAAAGAGAAACACCCATTGCTAGCTTCGCCGATACGCCCAGACAAATCAACTCATACCCCGCTGGTGTAAGGGGCAGACGCTCCGACAGAGCCACACTGGCCAGGTTACACTGAAAGGAGGTCACACCTACTGCCAGACATCTCACAATGCGATTTCAAAGGAGAAGGAGCCATCGCACACAGATGAACAAGAAATCCTGGTTTGCCCTGGCTGGTGTGGCTCAGTGGATAGAGCCTGGGGACTAAATGGTCCCAGGTTCTATTCCGGCCGAGGGCACATGCCCAGGTTGCGGGCTCGAATCCCACCCAGTGGGGACGTGCAGGAGGCAGCCGATCCATGATGAGAATCCTGGGTGTTTTTATCTATCTCTCACACACTTCCTTTCTGAAATCAATAAAAAATATATTTTAAAAAAATCCTCGTTTCTCATGCACATGCTCAAACCATAGGAACGAATCATTATGGCTACGCCATCACCCACGAGAACGTAAGAGAGAACCCTCAAGTTTTTTCGTGTGTTTAATTGATTTTACTTCCAGCATTTCAATCTGTGTCATTGCTGATGAACAGAAACTTTGGCATGCAATCTACACGCCTGCTCTGGGGCACCAGGAGTTCAAGAAACAAGAAATGTTTGTTCAGAGGGGACAGCTGTTGACAGCAAAACAAAATAAAAAACAAAACAAAGCCACACGTCATCGAAATGCCCAGGAGAGACGAGAGATGAAGACAGGACTGTACGGCGATGAAATGAAGAGACTAGGATCACATGCTATTTTGATAAAGCCCAGAAGAAAAGGCAAACTGAGAAACATACCAATATTATGGCATGAAACTATTTTTGTGGGGTTTTTTGTGTGTGTTTTTTTAAAGGCAAGGGAATGATAAACACAAAACCAACCAGACTAGACCTGGGCGGGGAGACGCGCGGACGGGTAAGAAACACGTAAACAGACGCATGTTTTGGTCACCCTCCAGGTCGAGGTTTGGGGGAGGAGTCATGGATTTTTACTAAGTTCTACCTCTTTAAACCGTATTGTGTTACACAGTCGTCTTTTGTGCTATAGTAAACACCTATTAACCATAATATATATATATATATACACACACACACACACACACACACACACACAAAAGGAATATATTTCCATAATCCTCACCTAAAGACACGTTTTCATTGATTTTATTTATTATTTATTTATTTTTAAAATATATTTTATTGATTTTTTACAGAGAGGAAGGGATAGGGATAGAGAGTTAGAAACATCGATGGGAGAGAATCATCGATCAGCTGCCTCCTGCACAGATGTGCCCGCAACCAACAAACATGCCCTTGACCGGAATCCAACCCGGGATCCTTGAGACTGCAGGCTGACACTCTATCCACTGAGCCAAACCGGTTTTGGCCGTTTTCATTGATTTTAGAGAGAAGAGGGAGAAGAGAGACAGAGAAACACCTATGGGTTGCTTCCTGGAATGCACCCTGACCTGGAGTCGAACCCGGACCCTTCAGTTAATAGAGGCCAAGCTCCACCCCACGGAGTCACACCGATGGGCCATATATACACACACACACACACACACACACACACACACACACACATATAAATATATATATATATACACATACATATATATATATATATATATATATATATATATATATATATTTGCATACCTTTTTTCAGCTTTCTGAAGGTATAACTCACACATAATAAACTGCACCCACTTCCTATGGGAGGTGTGATCAGTTTGGACATGAGGAAATTCTCACCACAATCATGGTAATAGTCCACAGCCTCAGGCGGTGTGGCTCAGTGGATACAGAGTGTCAGCCTGCAGACTAAGGGCTCCATCCCCACTAGGGGGCATGCAGGAGGCAGCCGATCCATGATTCTCTCTCCCTCCCTCTCCACAATCAACAACAACAACAACAACAAAATCTATGAAAAAACAAAAACAAAGATAATAGTCCACCAGCACCTAAAATTAATTCTTGTACCTTTGGGATCCACGCGCTTTGCCTTAAACATATTTCCGTTTTGTTTCTCTCTGATAAATGTATGCAACAGGTTTTATTAGGCAATCAATCATCTCCACTGCATTCCTAGAGCTACTGTCATTTTCTTTTCTTTTTTTTTAAATGTTCATGCCATAACAGGTGTGGCTCAGTGGATAGAGTGCTGACCTGCAACTGCAAGGTCCCCGATTCAATTCCGGTCAAGGGCATGGACCTTGGTTGCGGGCACATCCCCAGTGGGGGGTGTGCAGGAGGCAGCTGATGGATGTTTCTCTCTCATCTATGTTTCTAACTCTCTATCCCTCTCCCTTCCTCTCTGTAAAACGTCAATAAAATATATTTTAAAAATAAAAATAAAATAAAATGTTCATGTTTCCTGAGTCCACCAACACCCAGCAGTAACGACCGAAAGAAAGCCCTTGCAAAGGCAGATGTTGAGAAATTTTTAAATTTGGGGAAATTTCAACGTTCATCTAAAACTTTCCCCCCGCTTGAAGCACAGACCCTGAGGACCTGGGCAGGCGAGAGCACCCTAAAAATAAAAGAGGGGCCACATAATGGTTACATAACCAACCTTAACACCCAAACTTCTGTGGTCTTTGGGGTTCAGTGGTCTTTGGGGTTCAGTGGCCTCTTGGATCTAAAACGCGTAGCGATACCGAGTTGCACCCCCGAGACTAATATCACGTGTCAACTACACCTTATTTTTTAAAATATATTTTTATTGATTTTTTACAGAGAGGAAGGCCAGGATAGAGAATTAGAAACATCGATGAGAGAGAAACATCCATCAGCTGCCTCCTGCACGCCCCCCCACTGGGGATGGAGCCCGCAACCCTGGCATCTGCCCTGACCTGGAATCAAACCCAGGACCCTTCTATCCACTGAGCCACACCGGCCAGGGCGCCAACTACCCTTTAATTAAAAACAAAACACAGCCGAAACCGGTTTTGCTCAGTGGATAGAGCATCGACCTGCGGACTGAAAGGTCCCGGGTTCGATTCTGGTCAAGGGCATGGACCTTGGTTGTGGGCACATCCGGTAGGGGGTGTGCAGGAAGACAGCTGATCGATGATTCTCTCTCATCGATGTTTCTAACTATTTCTCTCTCTTCCTCTCTGTAAAACAAAATCAATAAAATATATATATTTTTTAAAAAAGATAAAATCTATTCCCGGATTTTGGGAAGGGGAGCCATGCAAAGCGTGGACGGCGGGGGGGTGGGGGGGGCGGGGACGCGGATCCACATACAAATGTCCTCGCTGTGGGGCAGGTCGACGAGACTCCCGAATCGTGAAAAAATAAATAGATAAAACACACACACACACACACACACACAAAATACAAACAAATCACGACGGCCCGTCGCCCGCGCGCGGCCTTTCTCCCCCCGCAGCGAGCGGTTCGAAATCAAGTTCAAAGTCGCTCCCGTGTCCACGGGACCCCGAAAGTTCCTCGGTCGAAAAGGGGGGGGGGGCGGAAGGGAGAGAAAATGCACAAACTTTGGGTCTGACCCTCCTCTTGACCCCCCCCCCCCCCTGGAGCGCGACCAAACTCCGGCCCCTTCCCGGCGGCGGCGGCGGCGGCGGCGGCGGCGGCGGGCGCGGCAGGTGGCAGGTCCCGGAAGGGCAGGCGGCCCGGGCGCTCGGGGCACCCGGACGCCCCGGGACCGCCGCCCGCCAACTGCCCCGGAACCCGGCCGCGGCGGGAGGGGGTTCCACACCCCGCGCCCCGAGACCCTGGGCCTCGGCCTCGGCCCTCCGCGGCCCGCACGGCCGCCCGGCCGCCACCTGCCGCCCTCCGGCCGCTTCCGGCCGGGCCGGGCCGGGCCGCGCCTCACGGGGAAGGGGGAGGGGAGGGACCGGCGCCGCCCCGGCCGCTCGCTCCGCACCGCGCCTCACCTGGCGGCGGCCCTCTCCGCCGGACGCGCTGCCCGCCGCCGGTCGCCGCGGGTGAAGGAGGACAGGTGAGGCCGACGAACCGCGCTCGCTCACAGGTCCCGTCGCCGCCGCCGCCGCCGCCGGCCTCTCGTCCGCTGTTTAGTAAACTTTTCTGTTTGGTTGCTCGGCCTGTGACGCGACACGGGAAGTGCTCCTGATTGGCCGGCACCCGGCGCTGACGCGTCGCCCCGCCCCTCGCTGCTTAATTATTACCGGCCAGGCGGCTCGCAGGCCCGGTGCCGGGGGCGGGGCCGCGACTCGGGGCGCGTAGCGATTGGCTGCGTCCCGGGGAAGGCGGGACCTGTGGAGACCCCGCCTCCTCCGCCGGGTGCTGTTCCGCCTTGGCCTCCCCTGACCTCCCGCCGCGGTCGGCCTGGCCCGGTCCAGGCTGTGGGGCGCGGTTTCTGGGGTCTCGCGGCCCGTGGAAGGGGCTGAGGAGGAGGAGGAGGAGGAGAGGCAGCGGGCTCCGCCGCCCCCCGCGCCGTGTCCGGCATGTTCCTCTGCGGGGCGGAGGCTCCGGAAGAGTCGCGCTCCAGCTGCTGGTTGTGCAAGAGGGAATCCCAGTGAGCAAGCCCAGAGGCTTGCAGCCCTGGGGTGCTCCTGGGCCGTGCAAAGTCCGAGGTCGGGGTGCGGCCTGGAGGGGGCGGGCACGCCGCCCGGGCCCGAGCCAAGATCCCTCCGGGGACTGCGCGTGCGTGCTCGAGCCGCACACTCACCGCCAAGCACCCCCTCTCCCCCCGCGCCCTCCGCCCCGGTTCCCTGCAGCGCGGCCCCTGCATCCCCGCAGCCGAGCGGGGTTCGGGGTGCGGGGTGGAGGACACTGGCTCCCCGGAGCGCCCCCGCCTTCGGGCTGAAGTCCAGCACCAGCTACAAGTGCAAGGGCAAGGTCGAGGTGGAGATCATTTTTCCTGCTGGTACTGCGGGGCAGCGGTTCGGCTGGGCTGTAAGGTAGGAGGCGGGCCGGGTCCCGAGGAAGCCTTTATGGTTAAAGTTTCAGGTTTTGCTCGTGGTGATTTTTTTTTTTTTGCATCCGTTTTGCTCATTTAAAAATATAGCATCAAACTGTGCTGTTTATCTTGATTTTCTTTTAAAAAAATATATATTTTATTGATTTTTTCACAGAGACGGAAGGAGAGGGATAGAGAGTTAGAAACATGGAGGAGAGAGAAACATCGACCAGCTGCCTCCTGCACACACACACACACACACACACACACACCCCACTGGGGATGTGCCCGCAACCAATGTACATGCCCTTGATCGGAATCGAACCCTGGACCCCTGAGTCCGCAGGCCGACGCTCTACCCACTGAGCCACACCAGTTAGGGTTATCCTGATTTTCTGAGCTTTGGGGCGTCCCTGGGAATGGTACGCTGTGATGGAGTCTCTCACCGCCCTCGCCCTTGGGTGGGTCTCACTTGGGGAGAGAGATTCGGTCGGCTTGGTCCGGTTCGGAGGAGGCAGCTTGCGCTTTGCCCTGCGGGGAACCTAACGCAGCATCTTCCTGCTCTGCTCTACAGGCTAAAATAGGCATTTCCAGTTTTGATTGACAGATGCTCCAGGGGCGTGGTCAGGACTTAAGGGGTCAAAGTTGAACCCAGGGCATACAAGGGGGTCGGGCTGGCTTGCTCAGTGGTGGAGCTTCGACCTATCAACCAGGAAGGAGGTCAGGGCACAGGCCCTGGTTGTGGGCTTGATCCCCAGTGGGGGGCATGCAGGAGGCAGCCGATCAATGATCCCCTCTCATCATTGATGTTTCTCTCTCCCTCTCCCTTCCTCTCTGACATAAATAAAAATATATTTTTAAAAATAATAAAGTAAAATAAAAACACACTTTCATTATGTGTAGGCCCTGGGCAATCACCCTTCAGCTTACCACAAGTCCCCTTTGTGTTTTTTTAAATATATATTAATATATATGTAAATATATTTTTATTGATTTCAGAGAGGAAGGAAGAGGGAGAGAGAGAAACATCAATGATGAGAGGGAATCATGGATCAGCTGCCTTCTGCACATCTCCCTATTGGGATCATGCCCAAAACCCTGGGCATGTGCCCTTGACCAGAATCGAACCTGGGACCCTTGAGCCCATGCTCTAACCACTGAGCAACACCAGCGAGGGCAGAAAGGGTGTTTTTATATATATATATATATTTTTTTTTAATAAATTTTATTGATTTTCCACAGAGAGGAAGGAAGAGAGAGAGAGAGCGCGAGAAACGTCGATGAGAGAGAAACATCGACCAGCTGCCTCCTGCACACCCCCCACTGGAGATGTGCTCGCAACCCAGGTCCATGCCCTTGACCGGAATCGAACCTGGGACCCTTCAGTCCGCAGACCGAAGTTCTATCCACTGAGCCAAACCGGTTTTGGCCAGAAAGGGTGTTTTTAAAGGGCATTCCACTTTGAATTGAAAGCCCACAAATTATAGCAAACTCAACAAAACAGGATTTTGCCCAATGAATGTCATTTTTGATACAGAGGCCAGCTTAGTGTAATGGAGATGAGGGATGCTTTTAGCCTCAATGACTCCAGGTCTAAAGAACTAAATCCTATATAATAAAAGGCTAATACGCAAATTGTCCCCTTGACTGGGAGTTCCACCCGTAAGTTCTAACAGGGAGCAGGGCCTGCTGGCCAACAGCCCAAAGCCCCTCCCTATGGCTAGCCCCGCCCCCAATCGGCCCCAATAGGGGCAGGCCAGCTGGATCCTGCCAGCCGGACATCCCACCTGTGCACAAATTCGTGCACCAGGCCTCTAGTTAAAAAAGAAAGAAGGGCCGAAACCGGTTTGGCTCAATGGATAGACCGTCAGCTTAGGGACTGAAAGGTCCCAGTATGGGGTGTGCAAGAGGCAGCTGATCGATGACTCTCTCTCATGGATGTTTCTAACTCTTTATCTCTCTCCCTCCCTCTCTGTGCAAAATCAATAAAATATATATTTTTTTAAAAAGAAGAAAATAATATTAAATAAATAAAAATAAAATAAAAAAGAAAGAAGGGTCTAAACCAGTTTGGCTCAGTGAATAGAGCGTCAGTCTGTGGACTGAAGGGTCCCAGGTTCGATTCCGCTCAAGGGCATGTACACTGGTTGCGGGCACATCTCCGGGGAGGGGGAGGGAGGTGTGCAGGAGGCAGCTGATCGATGTTTCTCTCTCATCCATGTTTCTAGCTTTCTATCCCTCTCCCTTCCTCTCTGTAAAAAATCAATAAAAAATATATATTTCTTTTAAAAAAAAAGAAGGAACTAAATTCAGTGCTTGGCTTTGCCTAAGGGAAGTGGGGAGCCATCGGAGAACCCCGAGGAGGAAAGGCAGTGGCGGGTTGTAACCATTGGGTGCGTTCTGCGGATTCTGGCAACAATCCTGCAGCCCGGGGTCCGTTCAGCTGGTTCCTGTCCCCTGGCCTCTGGGTGGGAGACGATAAGGAAGGGATTTAGAATTTCCACCGGGGCTTCCTGGCGCTCCTCGGTCTTGGTGACCGTGAGCAAGGCCCGGCCTGCTGGGTTTCGCTCTCCTGTGCGTTCGGGGAATGTCCGTGAGCAAAACAGAAGACCCCCCGCCAGGACGGAGGTATTGCTCTCATGGGGGAGATACAGAGGAAGAGACAGCTTTGTGCCGAAGCCGGTGTGGCTCAATGGATAGAGCATCGGCTTGGGGACTGAAGGGTCCCGGGTTCGATTCCGGTCAAGGGCATGTACCTTGGTTGTGGGTTGCGGGCATATCCCCAGTGGGGGGGTGCAGGAGGCTGCTGATCGATGACTCTCTCTCATCGATGTTTCTAGCTCTCTATCTCTCTCCCTTCCTCTCTGTACAAAATCAATAAAATATATTTAAAAAATAATAATAATGGATTGGCTCCCTCCTGCATGCCCTACACTGGGGATGGAGCCCACAATATGAGCATGTGCCCTCTCAGGGAATCGAACCCTAACTTCCTGATACACAAGTCTATGCTCAACCACTAGGCCATGCTGGCCGGGCAAACAAGCCCTTTTTTTCTTTCTCTCTCTCTCTTTCTTTCTTTCTTTCTTTCTTTCTTTCTTCCTTCCTTCCTTCCTTCCTTCCTTCCTTCCTTCCTTCCTTCCTTTCTTAATATATTTTATTGATTTTTTACAGAGAGGAAGGGAGAGGGATAGAGAGCTAGAAACATCGATGAGAGAGAAACATCAAACCAGCCACCTCCTGCACACCCTCTATTGGGGATGTGCCCGCAACCAAGGTCCATGCCCTTGACCAGAATCGAACCCGGGACCCCCCCCAGTCCTCAGGCCGATGCTCCATCCACTGAGCCACACCAGTTATGGCGTAACAAACCCTTTCTTGGTAATTGGCAGCAGCCCGTGTGGCTACGTCTGCTGGTGAAGCAGAGTAACCTCTGCCTGGTATAAAAACTGCTGTTTGAGACTCTCTGCTATGGTTAGAGATAGTCCCTTGCCCTATTAACTGTCATTGTAAACTCTGTTATTTTTAGATAGTCCCTTATTCTGCAAAAAAAGAAAAGAAAACTGTTTTACTTTAAATACTAAAAAAGATAAACTTAACTGTCTGACCTTGCAAGCTAGCCATCTAATAGCATCAGGGACTGATACGCTGATACTGATAACATTCACGTGCCCTGACCAGGACTCAAACAGTGACCTCGTGTGGCTCAGAAGCCAATGCTCAATCACTGAGCCACGCTGGCCTGGCTCCGACGTAGGTTTGGAAGGATCGTTCTGGCTGCCGTGTGGTGAGCAGATGGACAAGACAGGAAGTACGACAGCAGCGACTCGGACCCGGGTGATGGCCCTGGAGCCAGGGAGGAGCGGTCACATCTGGATACACACGGAGTGGCCAGATGATGATCATCTCTGAACGCATAATAACCTGGCCATTCAGTGTGTGCGTGTGTGTGTGTGTGTGTGTGTGTGTGTGTGTGTGTGAGGCCGGTGCATAAATTTGTGCATGTCTGGGTCCAGCCAGCCTGGCCAGGGGGAGGGGACATGGGCAGTTGGCTGGCCTGCCTGCTGGTCGAACTCCTGGTCGAGGGGACAATTTGCATATTAGCCTTTTATTCTATAGGATAGACACGGAGTGGCCAGGTTATTATGCATGCATAGATCATCATCTGGCCACTCTGTGTGTCTATATATATATATATATATATATATATATATATGTGTGTGTGTGTGTGTGTGTGTGTGTGTTTGTGTGTGTGTGTGTGTATTAGAGGTCCAGTGCATGAATTCGTGCATGGGTGGGATCCAGCCAGCCTGGCCAGGGGGAGGGGACACGGGCGGTCGGCCGGCCTGCCTGCTGATTGAACTCCTGGTCCAGGGGACCATTTGCATATGAGCCTTTTATTCTATAGGATATATGCCAAGTGGCCAGGTTATTATGCGTCCAGAGATCATCATCATCATCTGGCCACTCGGTGTAGTTTGGAAGGCGGACCCACTGGTTTTCTGATAGATGGGGGGGAGGGGGAGGGAGAGTTGGAGATGATCACGCATCCTTGATGATAAGACGAGGGTCAGGGCAGAGGCCTTGGGTGTGTGAGGACATTTGGGGACGCATCATCCCAGAAATGATACTTAAAGCCAGGAGGCTGATGAGGGCGTGAGCACAGCAGAGGGAGGACCCAGGCCAGCTTGGGAGTTCAAGGAGAAGGAAGGCGGAGGAGACAGAAGTGGGAGGAATGAGAACACGGAGTCCTGGAAGCCAGGGGTCAGCAATGCCCAGAGCCGCTGGGAGCTCAGATCTGAGGAGGACAGACTGGACAGGTGCGTGGGGGTTCACCCTGTTGGGAGGGTGGCTCAGGTGGCCCCAGAGCAGGGTGGGAGGGGCATTAGGGGTTTAATGAGGGTTCAGGGGGGTGAACATCAGGAAGATCGTCGCCAACTGGCAAGGAGATGAGGATTTTCTTATGGATTTTATTTACAATAGAATTGATTTTTATTCAGATTCTTTTTTTTTCTCAATATATTTTATTGATTTTTTACAGAGAGGAAGGGAGATAGAGGGTTAGAAACATCGATGAGAGAGAGTCATCGATCAGCTGCCTCTTGCACACCCCCTACTGGGGATATGCCCGCAGCCAAGGTACATGCCCTTGACCGGAATCGAACCCGGGACCTTTCAGTCCCCAAGCCGACGCTCTATCCATTGAGCCAAACCGGTTTCGGCTCAGATTCTTTTTTAAGCCCTGACCAGTTTGGCTCAGTGGATAGAGCGTCAGCCTGCGGACTGAAGGGTCCCGGGTTCGATTCCGGTCAAGGGCGTGTACACTGGTTGCGGGCACATCCCACAGAAACACACAGTAACGGGGTGTGCAGGAGGCAGCTGATGGATGTGTCTCTCTCATCAATGTTTCTAACTCTCTATCCCTCTCCCTTTCTCTCTGTAAAAAAAAATCAATACAATATATTTTTTAAAAAAACATAATAGATTCTTTTAAAAAATATTTATTGATTTTAGAGAGATTTGTTGTTCCACTTATGATTCTTGGTTGATTCTTTTTTTTTAAAGTATAGGTATGTATATATATTTTTTATTTAAATATATATATATATATATATATATATTTTTTTTTTTTTATTTTTTTTTTTTTTATTGATTTCAGAGTGGAAGGAGAAGGGAAAGAGAGATAGAAACATCAATGAGGAGAGAGAATCATGGATCAGCTGCCTCCTGCACGCCCCCCACTGAGGATCGAGCCCACAATCCGGGCCTGTGCCCTGACCGGGAATCGAACCGTCACCTCCTGGTTTCTAGGTTCATACATAGCTATCCATGCTCAACCACTGAACCACACCGGCCGGGCTGTGCTCCAATATCTTGTCTTAAAGCGGCATGATACCCCCTTTGCCAGCTTGATCCATCGGAAGACAGCTCGTGCAGAGTGCTTGGCGCTAGGTCCAGCCCCAAATGAAGCCACGGGCGAACGGTCATCACACGTTATCGGATCCGCTATCTGATCCAGTCGCGGCTAAAAGCAGCCGGTCTGTTGCAATAGCTCAGTGGGAAAGGACACTCCAGCCCACTGGCAAGCAGCTCGGAGTCCCTGGCAGACAGGGCCGCCCGGGCGCCCAGCCTGGACAGGAGGCTTCAGAAATGCTGGGTGCAACCGCCCTGTGGTCCCCCGTCTTGCCTCCCAAGGGGGAACATCGGAGCTGGGGGACACGGTGGCACGGGGCCTCCCGGTCACTCAGGGGGGGGCTCAGCAATCCCAGAATGCACCCACAGGAACACACACAAGCATGTGGGTATAGCTGGGAGGGCGAGGGGGCAGAGCCCACAGGAGTTGCCAGGCCCGAGGCTCAGAAATGTCATCGTAAAGCCCCTAGCCAGTGTGGCCCAGTGGATAGAGCGTCGGCCTGCGGACTGAAAGGTCCCGTATTCGAGTCCATTCAAGGGCACAGGCCTCGGTTGCGGACTCAATCCCCACTGTGGGGCATGCAGGAGGCAGCCGATCCATGATTCTCTCTCATCATTGATGTCTCTGTTTCTCTCTCCGCCTCTCCCTTCCTCTCTGAAATCAATAAAATTCAATTAAAATGATGTCCCAGCCGAGACCGGTGTGGCTCAGTGGATAGAGCATCGGCCTGCGGACCAAAGGTCCCAGGTTCGATTCCGGTCAAGGGCATGTACATTGGTTTCGGGCACATCCCCAGTGGGGGGTGTGCAGGAGGCAGCTGGTCGATGTTCTCTCTCTTATCGATGTTTCTAACTCTCTATCCCTCTCCTTCCTCTCTGTGAAAAATCAATAAAATATATTTTTTTAAAAATGATGTCCCAGCACGGCCAGCGTGTCTTAGTGGTTGAACATCGACTTAGGAACCAGGAGGTCACCGTTCCAATCTTGGTCAAGGGCACATGCCCAGGTTGGGGGCTCCACCAAGTAGCAGGGGTCTTCAAACTACGGCCCGCGGGCCACATGCGGCCCGCAGAGGAGTCTGATCCGGCCCGCCAGGTTTTTTGGGCAGTGAGCGCAGCCGAGGTGTTACAGTAGGAATTAGTAGTTCATATAGTCCGGCCCTCCAGCTCTCTGAGGGACCGTGATCTGGCCCCCACTTTAAAAAGTTTGAGGACGCCTGAGTAGGGGGTGTATGTATGTATATATATATACACACACACACACACACACACACACACACACACACTGAGTGGCCAGATTCTCATGCGTTCAGAGATCATCCTCCTCTGGCCGCTCCATGTATGTGGCTCCTGTTTAGCCTTTGAGTCGGACATGCGTGCCCCAGAGCCTTGCGCCAGCTACTGAGGAGGGAGAGGTGGACAGAGCAGCGGACTCCAACCTCACGGAGCACAAAGCCAGCCAGTCCTCCTGCCTCGGCCCCGGCCGGCGGGCGAGGCCACCGGTGAGGTCACAGGCGAGGCGTGGCCGTGTCCGCCGGCAGCAGGTCGAGTGGCCTGGATCCGGGCGCTGCGGCTGGCCAGGCGCCAGGCCAGGGAGGCGGGCGCTGACACTGAGACGCATCGCGGCAGCAGGTGACACCTCTTGGCCCCTCCGGCCGGATCCAGACCCGCTGCCTGGGGGTCCTGGACCGAAGGGCGTGCGGGAGCAATGCCAAACGCAGACGAGGGGCCCTGGGGTGTGCAGAGACGAGGCCACCCAGCCGGTGTGGTTCAATGGTTGAGGATCAACCTAGGAACCAGGAGTTCACAGTTCAATTCCCAGTCAGGGCACAGGCCCGGGTTGCGGGCACATCCCCAGTGTGGGGCGCGCAGGAGGCAGCCAATCCATGATCCCCTCTCATCATGGATGTCCTTCCTCTCTCCCTTCCTCTCTGACATCAATAAAAATATATCAAGCCGAAACCGGTGTAGCTCAGTGGATAGAGCGTCGGCCTGCGGATTGAAGGGTCCCAGGTTCAATTCCGGGGTCAAGGGCATGTACCTTGGTTGCAGGGACATCCCCAAGTGGTGGGTGTGCAGGAGGCAACGGATCGATGGTTCTCTCTCATCGATGTTTTTGGCTCTCTATCCCTCTCTCTTCCTCTCTCTGGAAAATTAGAATATATTTTTTAAAATAAAATAAAAAATAAAAATGTATCGAGAACAAAAGAGAAAAGGGAGCCCCCGCCCCCCGGAGTGAGTGTGTCTCGGGAGCTGAACCCCAACACTCAGGCACACATGCAGCCAAGAAGCCATGAGCTGTCCCGTGTGGGTGTCTCTTTCTCTTTGTTTTAATATAAATTTTTTTTATTGATCTCAGAGATGAAGGGCATGGGAGAGAGAGAAACATCCAGGAGGAGAGAGAATCACGGACCGGCTGCCTCCTGCACGCCCCCCACTGGGGATGGAGCCCGCAACCGGGGCCTGTGCCCTGACCGGGAATCGAACCCTGGCCTCCTGGTTCCTAGGTGGACGCTCACCACTGAGCCACAGCAGCTGGTTGGGCGGGCGTCTCTTTTGGAAGGCCGGGGTGTGGCGTGACCTGGCAGGTGCAGGCCAGAACCTCAGGGCAGCCAGAGAGTGCCTCCTCCCCGGGTCACAGGCCCGCCCCAGGCTCCTCCCCGACGCTCCTGCACCCGCGCCCTCGCTCACCTCTGCCAGCCCCAGCCCGTCTCCAGCCCTGCCCGCCACATGCCCCCGGCAGGTGTGGACTCCCCTCGGCTTCAGGCCTCTCCTGCCAACCGGCTCTGGCATCCGACTCGCCTGTGACTCACCCTCCACGCCACCCGCTCCCTCCCACCGCCTCTGAGCTGTGCTTGCCTCCCGCACGGACCAGCTCAGTCTGCTGGGTGGCTGGGCGGCGGGCCGTGTGGGTCAACAAGACCAGCCCCTGTGGGCGGACGCCCAGGAGGACTACAGGCAGGGTGCCGAGTGCCACCCCGGGCGCTGTGGAGGGAACGGGGGCCACGCCTGGGCAAGGAGACCTGAGGCTGAGGCTGTAGCTGTTTTCCGGTGGCAGGCTGTGCTGTGAATGACGGTGTCCTACCCGGTCCTTCTGTCCCTGTCATCCCTTCACCCATTCATTCGTCAGCTCCCTCGCAAACTGTGGAAACGGAATGCGACAATAAAAAGAACTTGTTTCCAGGCCTGGCCGGTGTTGCTCAGTGGATAGAGCGTCGGCCTGCGGACTGAAAGGTCCCAGGTTCGATTTCGGTCAAGGGCATGTGCCTTGGTTGCGGGCACATCCCCAGTAGGGGGCATGCAAGAGGCAGCTGATCGATGTTTCTCTCTCATTGATGTTTCTGACTCTCTGTCCCTCTCTCTTACTCTCTGTAAAAAAATCAATAATATATATATATATTATATATTAAAAAAAAAAAAAATATATATATATATATATATATATATATATATATATATATATAATTTTTTAAAGGACTGCTTCCAGGCCCTCCAGGGACTTTTAGGTTCCCCAGGATGACCTGTGCGCCCCTCTTTACTCTCCCCTCTGCTTGGACGATCCCAGTCCCACACTCCTCCCCCTCCAACCTTTAGACCTCGGCTAAAGAATGGATGGATGGATGGGTGGATGAATGGATGGATGGATGGATGGATGGATGGATGGATGGGTGGGTGGATGGATGGATGGATGGAAGGATGGATGATGAATTGATGGGTGGATGGATGGATGGAACAAAGGAAGGATGGATGGATGGATGGAAGGAAGCATGGATGATGAATGGATGGGTGGATGGATGGGTGGGTGGATGGATGGATGGATGGATGGTGGATGGATGGATAGATGGGTGGGTGGGTGGATGGAAGGATGGATGATGGGTGGGTTGGTGGATGGATGGATGGATGGGTGGATGGAAGGATGGATGGATGGATTGAGGATGGATGGGTGGGTGGGTGGGTGGATGGGTTGGTGGGTGGATGGATGGATGGTGGATGGGTGGATGGATGGATGATGGATGGATGGATGGGTGGGTGGGTGGGTGGGTTGATGGATGGAAGGATGGATCGGTGGATGGGTGGATGGATGGGTGGGTGGAAACATGGTTGGTGGATGGGTGGGTGGATGGATGGGTGGGTGGAAGGATGGAGAACCTCGTCTAAAGGTCACCTCCTCGGGGCAGGCTCCCCTGACCCCTTGACCAGCGTCAGGCCCCATTAGGATGCGTTCATAACCGGGCACTGTCCTTCGAGTGCCTGTAATTACGTGTTCATCAGTGGGGCTGTTCCCTTAATGTGGGTCCTCCCAGGCGCCTCTGGCAGCAGCGTCTTGTTTCTGATTAGTATTTACACACAGCCTCACACATGGCGATGCATTTAATAAGTACAAACCAGATTGGGTAGATGCTGGATGGTTGGCTGGATGCGACCCATGAAAAGACAGAACTGCGGCTGCAAACAAGGGGACCGGCGGCCTCCGATCTGCCCCTGACCGCCCGCGCCCCCCAGGAGTGATTACAAGGAGACTGACCTCTCACCTCCCAAGACCATTAGAGAACAGAGGGGACCCATTGCTGAAGCCTTTCAAAGCCCCTGGGCCCTCCTAAGGCTCCCTGACTTAGGCTGGCAGGGGAGAGCCGTTAGGGGCCATCAGGCTGACAGAAGAGACCGGTTAGGGGTGATCAGACCAGCAGGGGAGAGCAGTTAGGGGCATCAGGCAGGCAGGGGAGAGCGGTTAGGGGTGATCAGACCAGCAGGGGAGAGCAGTTAGGGGCATCAGGCAGGCAGGGGAGAGCGGTTAGGGGTGATCAGACCAGCATGGGAGAGCAGTTAGGGGCATCAGGCAGGCAGGGGAGAGCCGTTAGGGGTAATCAGGCTGTCAGGGGAGAGCCGTTAGGGGTGATCAGACTGGCAGGTAGAGGGGTTAGGGTGATCAGGCTGACAGGGGAGAGCAGGTAGGGGTGATCAGGCCGACAGGGGAGAGCGGGTAGGGGTGATCAGACCGACAGGCAGAGGGGTGAGGGTGATCAGGCAGGCAGGCAGAGAGGCACGGGCGGGAAGGGAAGAGAGGGCAGCACGCGGAATGGTTAGCATCACACTGCTGCCTACTTACTCACTGGTGTGTGCTCATCATCAGGTCACCTGCAGCTAATTGGGAGGATGTTTGTTTACGATTCGTTTTCTTACTCATCTAATCACAGGCAGGAGAGGTTCTGCCAGTTACGCAGCCAATCCAAGAACTCGGTGGTCAGGACACGGGGTGCCAGGAGCGGGAGGGACAGGGGAATGAGGAAATCCAGCTGGATGACCCGGGGCCTCTGAGCCCGGTGTGGGCTTCCGTCCCACCCCCTTTGACACACCCGTCCGCAGAGCCTGCCTCTGTAAAATCTCTGGGACAGCCGGGCGTGTCCCCATTTTATCTCCCCCAGCAGCTGGGACCCGCCCCAACGCTGAGAGCATGCCACGCCGCTCATGGCTAAGGGCGTAAATCTCCTGCCATCCTCGGCCAAGCCTCCGTCATGGTGATGGTGCAGGTGTGCAGCGAGTCAGTGGGTGATGTTTGAACCCTGATGAGGCCTGCAGTGCCCTCTAGGTGTTGGGGGGTGGGGATGGGGGCAGCAAAGAAGCAGAGACTTGGTGTTGATTCCCCCTTCCTTGGCCAGCAGAAGAGGGCAGTTAGGGGCGATCAGACTGGGAGGGGAGCAGTTGGGCGATCAGGCCGGCAGACAAAGGCGGTTAGGGGTGATCAGGCAGGCAGGCAAGCAGTTAGGAGCCAACAGTCTTGGATTGGAGAGGGTGCAGGCTGGGCTGAGGGACTCCCCCATACATGAACTTTGTGCACCAGGCCTCTAGTCTATATTAATAAATGGGTAATATGCTAATTAGATCGGATAGACTGTAGGGGTGTCGAACTCAATCAGAGAAGGGGCCAAAATCTAAAATCCAGCCTAAATCGAGGGCCGAATGGTTTACCGAACAGTCATAAACTGTCATTGTGATGGAAACGCAGCGGAGTGCAGTGATGACAGCGTGGTGCGGGCCACATTGCAAGGCCTGGCGGGACGGATTTGGCCCGCGGGCCTTGTGTTTGACACATGTGGACTAGAGGTCCTTCTGGACGAAGCCACGGTGGTGGGGGCAAGGCAAACGTTGTTTGGGGCAATCAGGTGTCAGGGAAGAGCGGTCAGGGGCGATGAGGCAGGCAGGCAGAGGGGTTAGGGGCAATCAGGCAGACAGGTGAGCGGTTAGGAACCAGCGGTCCTGGAATGTGAGAGGGATTTCTGACTGCCTGGGGGATCGGGCCTAAACTGGCAGTTGGACATCCCTCGAGGGGTCCCAGATTGGAGAGGATGCAGTACAGGTTGAGGGACCCCCCCTCTCTCATACACGAATTTTGTGCATTGAGCCTCTAGTTGTAAATAAAATGTTAACACTTAGTCTTATGACACAAGGAATTTAAAAGTGAACTATTTCAGCTCTAACTGGTTTGGCTCAGTGGATAGTGTCGGCCTGTGGACTGAAAGGTCACAGGTTCGATTCTGGTCAAGGGCATGCACATCCCTTGATGTTGTGGGCACATCCCCAGTAGGGGGTGTGCAGGAGGCAGCTGATGGATGTTTCTCTCTCTTTGATGTTTCTAACTCCCTCTCCCTTCCTCTTCATAAAAAAAAAAATCAATAAAATATATATATTTTAAAAAGACAACTATTTCAGTTTGTACCTCCTGAACTCAATCTGAGGGTGTCAGACCAAATCAGAGGGCAGAAGTCAAGCCAGGCACAAGGGGCCATGATGCAAGCCCGGGACCCCAACAGCCTGCATGTGGGGGTGGGGGTGGGGTGGTGAGGATGACCCCAGCAGGAACCAGGGTGCAGCTCCCCGAGGAGAAACATGATCCCTGGACACTGAAGCTGCCTCTGCGCATCCCGAGTGCAGACAAGCAGGGGATGCTGTAGGCGGACGGGCTGGGTTCCCAGACTCTATCCCCATTTCACAGACCAGTAGGCTGAGGCCCACGAAGGCAGCCAATCAGCAACAAGCTCAGTCAGGAACCTCTATGTGCCCCCTCCAAGGACTTGAGATCAGGCCGGGCTAGGCTGTCACCTTGGCCTGACATCCCAGGGACAAGACTGTGTACAGCAGCGCCCGCATCACAGACATGACATTTAGCACGTCAGGATACAATGGCTACGGTGCCAGGCGTGTTTAAACGTCACATCCGCCACGACTAGACGTCAAAAAAGAAACACGCTGTGATGGCACATGGGATTGAACGTCATTTCCGGTCTCGCCATTTATCAGGGGAGTTAAAGGCCCATACACCGAAGTTGTGGGTTGGGTGTGATCCCCAGTCAGGGCACATGCAGGAATCCAGAAATAAAATGCATGAGTATGAGCAGCAGCAAATCGATGCTTCTCTCTTTAAAATTATAATAAATACCTAAAATAGCGTCAGTTCAGATGCAACCACATGGCACCTGGCACTTCCTAGGTCAACTGGGTTTAAACGTCATTCCCATCCTCAGGAAGGTCAACAGGACTATGCGGTCGCACACAAAATATGTCATTCACGGCGCCGTGAAAAGCAGCGCTTGACTAGATTTTACAGCGTTTTTCAACCGCTGTTCCGCGGCACAGATGTTGCCTGGTGTGCCGTAGGTGCAGACAAGACAAGAATTTTATAATTTTTCACTATTTTGTTTACTTAATATTTCATAATAAAGTAATTATAAAATACTTTCTTTGTGTTTATTTGATTCCTATTCAAGAGAATTACTTTATATATAGTCAATATAGGCACAGAGTTAAATTTTTTAACATTTTCTAATGGTGGTGTGCCTCGTGATTTTTTTCATGAAACAAGTGTGCCTTTGCCCAAAAAAGGTTGAAAAACACTGGACTAGAAGACATACCCGTCACAGGGAAGGTCAAAATGGAGCCGTGAACGGGTTAAAAACGTCACTTCCGTCGCGGAGGAGGTCCGATGAGTGTGTCGCTGTTCAGAAAATCGTCATTTCCGGCGCGACGAAGCCCGGGGGCGACTGGGGTCGCGCTCCAGAGGCGTCATTTCCGGCGCAAGGAAGGTCCTGCCAGCAGCTGCGACTTAGATGGGTTACGACACGACGTCATATTTACCGCTAAGCGACGTCAACGTGGCTGCGAATCACCCAACCGACGTCTCCCTGAAACTTCACGCTGTCGGTCATCCCCCCCAAAGTGGATTTACACGTGTTTTCTGCCCCGTCTAAACGTCACGCTTGCGGCGGTCTGACGAGCCCTGAAATGTCATGACGTCATGACGTACGTGCTACGTCATTTCGGCAGCGACCGGATATTCTCCCCGAGGTTTGGTCTCGCTGACGACGTAAACGTTTCTCCGGAGGCAAGGTGAGGTCGGTTTTACGTGATTTCCGGCGCCGGGAGACGTCACGGGCTTCAAAGTCGCTTGGGTCGCGGACGCCGGGGGCTTTGGGGTCGTTCCCGCCGCGGCGTGATGTTGCGTCAGGGCCGCTGCCTCGGGCATTCCTGTCCCGCCAGCGGGGACCGGACTTCACGGCGGCCGGGGAGGCCGCACCGGAGCCCCTGCCCGGTTAGGACGGCGGGGGTGTGTTTGGCCCGTCCCTGAGCCGCTTCCTCCTGCAGGTATGCAATCCCTTTATTTTTTAAAGTTGTTGTCTTTTAAATATTGTATCGCAAATCAGCGAGCCGGAAAACACGCCTTCATGAGTCAGTTCGGTCCTGGCCGGTGTGGCTCAGTGGGTAGAGCGTTGGCCTGGAGACTGAAGGGTCCCGGGTTCGATTTAGGTCAAGGGCATGTACCTTGGTTGCGGGCACATCCCCAGTGAGGGGTGTGCAGGAGGCAGCTGATGGATGTTTCTCTCTCGATGTTTCTAACTCATTTCTCTCCCTTCCGCTTTGTAAAAAATCAATAAAAAACAGTTTATTTTTTAAAAATGAGCCAGTTAGTTAAAAGTCACCTTCCTTGCGCGCAGGTTCAGAGCAGGTTATCTCTGTCCAATTCTAAACCCCCAAAGGAGGAAGCATTCTCTTTTTACATCTTTTCAGGTCCTTGAGTAAATTATTTTTACAGAGAGAGAAACATCGATCAGCTGCCTCCTGCACACCCCCCACCGGGGATGTGCCCGCAACCAAGGTACATACCCTTGACCAGAATCGAACCTGGGACCCTTCAGTCCACAGGTGGACGCTCTACCCACTGAGCCACACCAGTCAGGGCGATCCCTTCATTGTTAATGTTACCTGAGGGCCGTTTTGCCTCTCCAGGGGAGTGGAGTACCTTCTAGTTAAACGGTGGCGGGAGACGGTAGATTCTGCATATGATGGAAAAAAGGAATTTGATCCTTACCGCGTGCCGCCCAGGAAAGTGCTGTGAGGCGGTTCATTCATTAAATGTGAATGGACAACAGTCAAGTTTCTCCGAGAAAACGGGAGTATGTGTTTGTGATATCCAGGTAGGCACGTACTTAAACAGGATACAAAAACGCTCTGTCCTAATGGTATTGATTGATAAGTTGATTGAAGCCATCTGTTAAAAAAAAAAAAAAAAAAAAGGCTGCATTCAAAGAGTGCAAGGTAAGCCACGGAGTGGGAAATATATTTACAAAACCTATACCCAACCACGGACTCCTAACTGTAGCGCGTAAAGAACCTGTACAATTCAAAAAGGAAAAAAATATTACTCGATTTATTATTTTTTAATTTTAAAAATACATTTTATTGATATTTTTGCAGAGAGGAAGGAGAGATAGTCAGAAACGTTGATGAGATAAACACATCGATCAGCTGCCTCCTGCATCCCCGTCCCCTTCCCCACTGGGGTTGTGCCTGCAACCAAGGCACGTGCCCTTGATTGGAATCGAACCCCGGACCCTTCAGTCTTCAGGCTGATGTTCTGTGCTCTATCCACTCAGCCAAACTGGTTAGGCCTATCTGACTTTAAAAAAATAAAAAAAAAAAAATAAAAATAAAAAAAAAAAAAAAAATATATATATATATATATATATATTTTTTTTTTTTTTTTTTTAAAGCACATACAAATGGCCAGTTAACATTATCAACAGAAAAACTCTGTATTTTCTTTCCAAAACCCCCGTTCTTCCCAACTGGACCTTAGTCAGGGCTGAGCACGTCTCCCCCGGTTACAGAAACGTTGAGAACTTTGAGGAGCATCCTGTCCAGTCTCCCATCACCTTCGTCCTCTCACACGGCATCGCCTGTTCCTGGAATGCTCCTCCTGGGGTGCAAGTGTGACTGGGTCAAAGCCTTCGCTTCCACTCACTCTGGATAAGGTCTCCTCCTGTTAGCATGGCTTTAGACCTTTTATGATCTGGCCTCTGACCACCCCCAGCCTCTCTTCCTCTGGTGGTTGGGTTCTGGTTAAATCGAAACTAGAGGCAATAGGCCTTCCTTCCCTTGGCTTCCAGCACCGGTTTTCCTCCGGGATCCAGGCCTTCGCTCCGGACACCATCTTCATCTCTGTTGCAGACTGTGGAGTCTGCTCTCTTCATCTTCACTGCGGCCGGAGTGCCACTCCTGTAGATCCCTTTGCCCCCTGCTCTCCCTCTCATAGCAGGAGCCCTGCCTCACCCGGCCACTCCGTGCCTGGAGCAACCGGGCTGCCGCCATCTTTGCCTTCTAATTTGCATACCCCCTCCCGATTGGCTGGTGGGTGTAGCAGAGTGATGGTCAATTTGCATGCTCCTCTTTTATTAGTGTAGATAGTGTAGATTACGGTCTGGCCCCCCCCTTCCTTTATCAGCGCTTCCTCCTCAGCCTGACAAACTCCTACACATACTACAGTGTCCTTGTGCCATCAGGGAACTCATCCTGTGTTCCCCTCCTTCCGAGCTCTTGATCCAGGGTTTGCTATTGGCGTGAGGTTGGCTGTCTCCTTTGTCTCCTTCATCAGACTGTGGGCAGGTCAGAGGCTGCATCTTCCCTCCGGAGCCCCCAGTGCCCGGGAGGGGGCCGTCCCGCAGCCCAGGAATTCCTTCAAACAGGAAGGGTTTTACTGCAGACCAACCCGTGCAGCAGGTCAGGTTGCAGGTGTGGCCGGGAGAGGAGCTGCTGTGGCCACTTCGGGGGAGAGGGCGGGTTTTCTCAGGGGCCCTGGTTTTCACAGGCAGGGCCAGACCTTTGCGGGTGGTGCGGGAATCCTGGGCTCCCGGGCGGAAAGGGGAACTTGGCCTGTGCTGCAATTCCACTTGTGAACACGAGGTGGCGCTCTGTGGCGGCCTCCAGAACCCAGAGTAAGTGAACTGGTACCCGGGTGGTTAGTGATGCTGAGCAGGCTGAGGGATCCCCGCGTTTATTCATTCATGTCCCTACGGAGGTGTAGGGCGAACCTACAAATGGCGCTTCATGGATGTGTCCCGGGGCGCCAGCCCGGGTTTAGTGCTGGCCCCGCTGGTCCTGGGAAGGGGCCCGGCTCGCTCTGGGCTCCAGGTCCCTCCTGCAGAGCGGCGTTCAGACCTGCGCGGCCTTTTTTTTTTTAATACATATTTTATTGATTTTTTACAGAGAGGAAGCGAGAGGGATAGAGAGTTAGAAACATCGATGAGAGAGAATCATCGATCAGCTGCCTCTTGCACACCCCGCACTGGGGATGTGCCCGCAACCAAGGCACATGCCCTTGACCAGAATCGAACCCGGGACCTTTCGGGACGCTCTATCCACTGAGCCAAACCGGTCTCGGCAGACCTGGGCGGCTGTAAGGAGGGAGGTTGGCAGAGCTGGCGGCTCCGTTCCTGGCCCCTCCACCATGCCCGGCAGTGCTCACTTCCCTGGGGATCCCTGGCCACGCTCCCCGTGCCCTCTGACAGCCCGGGCAGACTCTCCCCGCCCCACCCTTTACTCTCCTACCCACCCCCGCCCTCACCCTCCCCGCCCTCCATCAGGCCGGGGACCCCTGAGGACCGGGCGGGTCAGCCGAGCTTTCTGGGTAAACACTCCACCGAAGGATGGAGAAGGATGACTGACCTCCACCACAGACACAGCCGAGTCCTTCAGGCACTTGAACAAGGATGAGCGTGTCCCTGGCCTGCGACTTTTCCCTTCCCACGCGAGACAGTTCAAACCCCTGGAGAGTTTTTCCGGTTTAGCTCAGTGGATAGAGCATCGGCTTGGGGACTGAAAGGTCCCGGGTTCGATTCCGGTCAAGGGCATGTACCTTGGTTGCGGGCATATCCCCAGTGGGGGGGGTGCAAGAGGCGGCTAATCGATGACTCTCTCTCATCGATGTTTCTAACTCTCTATCTCTCTCCCTTCCTCTCTGTACAAAATCAATAAAATATATTTTAAAAAATTAAAAAAAAACCCTGGAGAAATGGGAAGTGGGGGCAGGAGATTCTGGGAACCCCCCAGGTTTTGTAAGCTGGGGGTGGGGAGGTGTGGATCGAGGATGACAGGAGGGGCTTTCCTTCGGAAGATACCCCTCAGGGGCGGGGACAGCGCCAAGTGCCAGACGCTGATTCCCCGGCGCTTCTGTTTCTCTTCTTTTTTAAAATGTAGAAATTACTTTCAGAGAAGAGGGGAGAGAGAGAAACATCCATGACGAGAGAGAATCCTGGATCGGCTGCCTCCTGCACGCCCCACACGGGGGATGGAGCCTGCAATCTGGGCCTGTTCCCTGACCGGGAATCGAACCCTGACCTCCTGGTTCACAGGTCGACACTCCACCACTGAGCCATGCCGGCTGGGCATGCATTGTTAACCTTTTTAAAAAATATATATATATATATTTTTGACTTGTTACAGCGAGGAAGGGAGAAGGATAGAGAGTTAGAAATATCGGTGAGAGAGAAAGGTCCATGCCCTTGACCGGAATCGAACCCGGGACCCTACGGTCCGCAGACTGACGCTCTATCCACTGAGCCAAACCGGCTTCGACACTGACAACATTTTTGAGTTTGGGTTTGTTTATAAACCGAGAGATCTATTTATTGATTTATTATATTATATCTTTATTGATTTCAGAGAGGAAGGGAGAGGGAGATAGAGATAGAAACATCCATGATGAGAGAGAGAATCATGGATCGGCTGCTTTCTGAATGCCCGCACCCCGGGCATGTGCCCTGACCCGGAATCGAACCCGAGACCCTTTGGTCTGCAGGCTGACACTCTACCCACTGAGCCACACCGGCCAGGGCTATTTACTGATTTGAGAGAGAGAAAAAGAGAAACATGGGTGTGTGAGAGGACCATCCACAGACTGCCTCCCATACCAGCCCCAACCGGGAATCGAACCCTCAACCTCAGTCTGTAGGGACGATGCTCTAACCGGCTGAGCTACCCGGCCAAAGCACTCGGGTTCCTTTAAATTAGGGGTGTCGAACTCAATCAGAGAAGGGGCCAAAATCTAAAATCCAGCCTAAATCGCGGGCCGAATGGTTTACTGAACAGTCATAAACTGTCATTGTGATGGAAACGCAGCGGAGTGCAGTGATGACAGCGCGGTGCGGGCCACATTGCAAGGCCTGGCGGGACGGATTTGGCCCGCGGGCCTTGTGTTTGACACATGTGCTTTAAATCAACTTTCTCCAGGTTCCGTGTCCAAGTAGAAAGCTCACCCCCCTCAAGCGGACACCTCGGGGAGCCTGAGGGAGTTCCGAGGAACGGAAACGCCCCCATCGTGACAGACTGGGTCTCCACCCCCAACGTGCCCCACCCCCTCCTGGCCGGGCAGCTCAGTCTGTCCTGTGTTCTGTCCTCAGACTTCACCGAGCTGAAATCGGCCTGTCGGCGTTTTGTCCTGGGGCCCTGAGCATGGGGCAGGTGGGCTTTGTGGTGCCGTGTGAGTTGCCAGCTCCCCCCCCCCTGGACCCCCTGCAGGGAAGCCAGGGGGCAGGAGCGTGGCCCCCCGCGTACAGGACACCCCCACCCCCAGCAGGAGGCAGGTGCTCCCTTTGGGGGCCCCCCTCCCTCCTCCCCTCGCACCAGCAGGCACTTCTGCTTCCTCCCTGCCCTTTCCTGGGGCGGCGGGAAGTCCGGACCCTGTGCCCACAGCGCTGGGAGGCCCGCGCCCACAGGCCAGCTGATCGAAAGCGAAAAGTAGGGGGGGGGGGTCGCTGCAGCCACCATGGGGGCTGCCTGGAAGGAGGCGTTTATGACTGGCAGTACAATCCTAGAGTTCCCAGATGTCACCGCTGCCGGCTCTGCGGGCCTGGAGGGCGGGGGGCGGGGGGGGGAAGGCCGGGGGGAGGTCCCCCCGAGACCAGTGCTCCCGCCTGAAGTGTGCCTTTTACTCTTTCCATCTTGTTGTTGATCCCCCCCTGAGGCTATTTCTCCATTGATTTAAAAATATATATATATTTTTTTTTTGCCGAAACCGGTTTGGTTCAGTGGATAGAGAGCGTGGCTTGGGGACTGAAGGGTCCCGGGTTCGATTCCGGTCAAGGGCATGGACCTTGGTTGCAGGCACATCCCCAGTAGGGGGCGTGCAAGAGGCGGCTGATCTATGACTCTCTCTCATCGATGTTTCTAACTATCTCTCTCCCTTCCTCTCTGTACAAAATCAATAAAAAATATATATTTTTTTAATTTAAAGATATATATTTTTTATCGCCCTGGCCAGTGTGGCTCAGCAGATAGAGCATCACCTGTGGACTGAAGGGTCTCCGGTTCGACTCCAGTCAAGGGCACAGGCCCGGGTTGTGGGCTCCATTCCCCACGGGGGGGCGTGCAGGAGGCAGCCGATCCGGGATCCTCTGTCATCACGGATGTATTTTTAAAAAGCTTTCTTTTTTTTTATTGATTTCAGAGAGGAAGGGAGAGGGAGAGAAACATCCATAATGAGAGAGGGTCATGGATCGGCTGCCTCCTGCACGCCCCCTGCAGGGGATGGAGCCCGCAACCCGGGCCCGTGCCCTGACCGGGACTCGAACCCTGACCTCCTGGTTCACAGGTTGACTGACGCGGCTGCGGGGCCCCGACGGGCATTCCCATCGGAGACCACCGTTCTCCGGGTGTTCCGCCTTCGCCTTGGGCCGTGGTCGGCAAACTGTGGCTCTCGAGCCACATGCGGCTCTCTGGCCCCTCGAGTGTGGCTCTTCCACAAAGTACCGTATTTTTCGGACCATAAGACGCACTTTTTTCCTCCCAGAAGTGGGGGGGAAAAGTCCCTGCGTCTTATGGTCCAAATATAGCCTACACATATACTTTAAAAAAAAAGTTTTTTTACTTGCCCGGCTCTGTGTGGTCTCTGTGTGCTTGCCCGGCTCTAAAATGGTTCTAAATGCTGCTGTTTACTTTACAGGGTTGATTACATGTGTTTATGACTGTGATGTTGGGTTTTAATGCACATAAAATATTTTAGGACACTATTTGTTTCAGAATCTTTTTTTCTTCATTTCCCTTCTCTAAAAACGGGTGCGTCTTATGGTCCGGTGCGTCTTATGGTCCGAAAAATACGGTACCACATTCGGGCGCGCATTCAGTGCGATGGAAACTTCGTGGCCCATGCGCAGAAGTCGTTTTTGGCTCTCCAAAGAAATGTCAGTTGTTGTGCTGCTGCTATTGGGCTCTGTTAGCTAGTGAGTTTGCCGACCACCGGCCTTGGGGAGCGGAGAAGTTGCCTCAGCGGGGTCTCCCCTCGGTCACGGTCACGGTCACGGTCCTCGGATCCCTCCAGCCGGGCGCCCGGGCCTCCTCTCCCACTCCGCAGCCCAGGGGATCCTCGTCCGTCATTGCTCTCGGCTCCCGGGCGGGGCAGCAGGCGGACTCCTCCCTGGTAGAAACATTGACGAGCCCTGGCCGGTGTGGCTCAGTGGATAGAGCAGCAGCCTGCGGCGGGTTCGATTCCGGGTCAGGGGCACAGTTCTGTTTCCCAGCCCTGCACACAGTGTGTTTGGAGGCAACCAACAGATGTGTCTGCCTCGCATCCATGTTTCTCTCTCTCTCTCTTTCCCTCTCTAAGGAAAAAAAAAAAAAGGAAAAATATCCTTGGGTGAGGAATAAAAAAAATAATAACATCGTCCCATAATTTGCTAATCCATTCATCTGGTGATGCACACAGGTTCTTCCCACCTTATTTTTTGTGCTTTCTTTTTAAAACAATTATTTTATTCTTTAAATATATTTTATTGATTTTTCACAGAGAGGAAGAGAGAGGGATAGAGAGTCAGAAACATCGATGGGAGAGAAACATCGACCAGCTGCCTCCTGCACACCCCCCACCGGGATGTGCCCGCAACCAAGGTACATGCCCTTGACCGGAATCGAACCTGGGACCTTGAGTCCACAGACCGACGCTCTATCCACTGAGCCACACCGGTTTTGGCTCCACCTTGTTTATTATTATTATTATTATTAATTTTTGTTGTTGAGAATATTACCTATGTTCCCTCTTTCCCCCACGAGCCCCTTCCAGCCCAATCCGGGCCTTCCCCAGGGCTGTTCCTGCCTCGTGCGTAACGGTACTTACTTCTGCGTGTTTAAATGTGTCTGCGCCCCCGTTTCCCGTTATGTTTCCCGTTATTGGGGGCGCACACGCTCAGGCGTGGGGTTGCCCGGCCGCGCGGTGGTTTCCGAAGGAACGATTCGGGGACTTGCCGCATTTTCCCAGGGGCCGCACGTGGGCCAGCCCCCCAGTCTACGCGCCCCCCCCCCCCCCCCATCCCCAGCTGCAGCAGCCACGGGGCCGGATGGGGAAGTGGCGGCCGCTCTGAACTTTTCCTTTCGCCCCCGCCCGCCCTGCACAGGGGCCGGGAGGAAGGGCCTGGGCTGGAGCAGAAATCCCAGCGCTGATGTCACCCCCGGGCAGGCCCCCCGCACTCAGTTCTGCTCCGCGCCCTGCGCTCAGGCCTCAGATCGTGGCCGTGGCCGTGGAGGGAGGATGGCCCACGGCGAGGGCTTCGGCTACGTGCAGGGCCTGGCCCGGGACTACCTGCGGCACGCGCTGCGGGGCCCGCGGCCCGAGGCCCGGCCCGGCCCGGCGGCCCGGGTGCACCGGCTGCTGCGGGAGACGGCGGGGGCGGTGCAGCGGGACGCCGAGCGGGCGCTGCGGCCCTGCCTGGCCGGCCTGCCCGTGGGCTCCGCGGCGGCCGCCAGGGCCGTGTTCCTGGCCGTGGCGCGCAGCGAGTTCGAGGACGGCGTGGTCAACTGGGGCCGCCTGGTGACCCTGTTCGCCCTGGAGGGCATCCTGGCCAGGGAGCTGCTCCGCCAGCGGGGCGACCGGGAAGACTGGGACCCGGACCAGGACCTGGACCCGGGCCTGGACCCGGACCGGGACCTGGACCTGGACGCGGACACCGCCGAGGAGATCTCGCGCGTCGTGGCCGAGTTCATCACCTCGCAGGCGGGGGACTGGATCAGGCAGAACGGCGGCTGGGTAAGCAGGCTCCTCGCCCTTCACATGGTTTCCTGGCCCATCGGAAGTGTATATATACACGCCCTGGCCGGTGTGGCTCAGTGGATAGAGCGCCGGCCTGCGGGACCGAATGGTCCCGGGTTCGATCGCAGTCAAGGGCACCTACCTCGGGTGCAGGCTCCTCCCTGACGGGCCCTGGATGGGGCTCAAGCAGGAGACAACCCATCCATGTGTTTCTCTCACATCGATGCTCCTCTCTGTCTCTCTCCGGCTCTGGAACTCTCCCTAAAGAAATCAGTGAGGATTGGTAAGGTATATACGCATACAATACCTTAGTTTAAAAAAAAAATGAGAAAAAAAATCAATGGGAAACTATCCTCGAGTGAGGATTAACAAAAAATAAAAAATAATAATAATAATAATAAAGGCCACAATCCTTCGAAAAGAAGAAAGAAAGTGCCGAAACCGGTTTGGTTCAGTGGGTAGAGCGCCGGACTGCGGACTGAAAGGTCCCGGGTTCGATTCCGGTACCTTGGTTGCAGGCACATCCCCAGTCGGGGGTGTGCAGGAGGCAGCTGATCGATGACTCTCTCTCATCGATGTTTCTAACTCTCTCTCTCTCTCTTTCTTCCTCTCTGTACAAAATCAATAAAATATATTTTTTAAAAAAGAAAGAAAGAAAGTGTGTACACAGGCACCGGGCGCTGCAGTAGGCGCCCGCCCTGTGAGTGCCCGTCGCAGCGGCAGCTAAGTCGGTGTGTGTTCCTTTTCGTAGGTCATTCATAATGAAATTAATAATTAAGGGAAGGGTGTCTACACCCCGTATGTAGGGATTGTGGTTGCACATCCGCCCTGCCGGTCCGCAGTGGCGGGCAGCCAGCCCGGGCTCCGCCGTGGCTGCTGTTGTCATGACAACGCACGCTTTTCGCCCCAAGCGTGGGTCTGAGACGCTGTTACGTCTTCTCGCGTGTCCTCGCGAGACCTCCAAGGGCCGGTCTCTGCAAGTGGGTGGCTCCCAAGGTCATTTCCGCCCGGTCTGCTAAACCCTGCCAGGTTCGGGCTGGGCACCCGGATGACGGGAGAGGAACGAGCCGCAGGGACGCGCCTCCAGGATTCGCAAACGGGAGTCCGCGGCGCTGCTGTCAGGGGCCCGCGGGGGACGGGACTCCGCTAGGGATCCAGTGACCGGCCTGTCCCGCGGGTGTCTGCTTTTCCTCCACATCCCACGCCCCGTGCTTCGCTTTTTAAAAACACTGTGTTGCGGCCGAAACCGGTTTGGCTCAGTGGATAAGAGCGTCGGCTTGGGGACTGACGGGTCCTGGGTTCGATTCGGGTCAAGGGCATGTACCTTGGTTGCGGGCACATTCCCAGTAGGGGGTGTGCAAGAGGCAGCTGATCGATGACTCTCTCTCTCATCGATGTTTCTAACTTGCTATCTCTCTCCCTTCCTCTCTGTACAAAATCAATAAACTATATATTAAAAAATAAATAAAATAAACTAGCTCTGACCATATGCCCAATCAGAAATGAAGACTATAAATTAGTATTTCAAACAAAATTAAAATAAAAACACTGTGTTGCATCTCGCCCAGCTAGCTCAGTCGGTAGAGCATGAGACTCTTAAAAACACTGTGTTGCCCTGACTGGTGTGGCTCAATGGATAGAGCATCAGCCTGTGGACTGAGAGGTCCTGGGTTCAATTCCGGTCAAAGGATTGTACCGTGGTTGCGGGCACATCCCCAGTAGGAGGCGTGCAGGAGGCAGCTGGTCGATGATTCTAACTACCCCTTTCTCTTCCTCTCTGTACAAAATCAATAAAATATATATTTTTTAAAAACACTGTGTCCCCAGGCGGCCTCTCCCCAGAGGTACCCCTGCTACCAGCTATTTTAATGCAAAACATAGCTGTGACCACAGCCATAGGAAATACCTATCGTGCATCTTTATTTTATTTATTTTTAAATATATTTTATTGACTTTTTTTTACAGAGAGGAAGAGAGAGGGATAGAGAGTTAGAAACATCGATGAGAGAGAATCATCGACCAGCTGCCTCCTGCACGCCTCCTACTGGGGATGTGCCCGCAACCAAGGCACATGCCCTTGACCGGAATCGAACCCGGGACCCTTCAGTCCGCAGGCCGACGCTCCATCCACTGAGCCACACCGTTTAGGCCCATCGTGCATCTTTGTAAAATACGGATAAATAGCACACGGTGCGCATTCTGCTTTTTCTTTACTGGAGGTATTTAAAATAGTATTTTTATGTATTTATTTTAAAATGTGTACATATATCTATATAGCTGCCTTTTTTCAAAACTTGATTTATTCTTTCCTTAAATATGTATTTTTATTGATCTCAGAGAGGAAGGGAGAGGGACAGAAACACCAATGATGAGAGAGAATCACGGATCGGCTGCCTCCTGCACGCCTCCCTCCTGGGATGGAGCCCACAACCCGGGCGTGTGCCCTTGTTCGGAATCAAACCGGGGGCCCTGCAGTCCACAGGCCGGCACTCGCTAACCACTGAGCCACACTGGCCAGGGCTAAAACAGCCTTTTTAAAAGCGCGCTACCTCCGTGCCGTGTGCAGATGCTCCTCCTGTTGGCTTTCAGAGCCCTGGGTGGCTTCATTTATCATGAACTTTTTCTTTTTTTAAAAAAAATATATTTTATTGATTTTTTACAGAGAGAAAAGGAGAGGGACAGAGAGTTAGAAGCATTGATGAGAGAAAAACATTGACCAGCTGCCTCCTGCACACCCCCCACTGGGGATGTGCCCACAACCAAGGTACATGCCCTTGACCGGAATCGAACCCGGGACCTTTCAGTCCGCAGGCCGATGCTCTACCCACTGAGCCACACCGGTTTCGGCTAAAAATATATTTTATTGATTTTGTACAGAGAGGAAGGGAAAGGGGTAGTTAGAAACATCGATCAGCTGCCTCCTGCACACCCCCCACTGGGGATGAGCCCACAACCCAGGTCCATGCCCTTGACCAGAAAATCGAACCTGGGACCCCTCAGTCCGCAGGCGGACGCCCTATCCACTGAGCCACACCGGGTTTCGGCTCATGAACGTTTTGAAACTTGGTGTGACCTTTGCATGTTGGAGGCTTAACCACACCCACCTCCCCGCAGCCCTCCCCCTTCAACTGACCTTTCCTTCCTGCGATTCCTCTGACTCAGCAGGCCCGGCCGGGGGCTGGGCGGCCTGAGAGATCCTGTCAGTGTCTTCCTGGGTGTGGGCAGCCAGAGGAAGGAGGGGGAAGAAGGAGGAGGCTTCTGCTGTGGGTGCAGGTTTAGTTTCAAGCGAAGGCAGACGTTGGGCCGGGGGCTCAGAGCCCCCCCCCCCCCCCCCCCGTGAGCCTGGACTGGGACTGAGTCCCCAATGTGTGGAGTATCTGTAGCAGAGACAAGGGATGAATATTATTTTAAAAACTAGGGGCCAGCTGAAACCGGTTTGGCTCAGTGGATCGAGTGTCTGAAAGGTCCCAGGTTCGATTCCGGTCAAGGGCATGGACCTTGGTTGCGGGCACATCCCCAGTGGGGGGTGTGCAAGAGGCAGCTGATGGATGATTCTCTCTCATTGATGTTTCTAACTCTATCTATCCCTCTCTCTTCCTCTGTAAAAAAAATCAATAAAATACTTTTTTTTTTAAATTAAAAAAACAAAACGAAAAAAACTAGAGGGCTGTATGCACCCATGGGGCCCCTCAGCTTGGCCTGTATCCTCTCTTCATCTGGGACCCCTCGGGGGATGTCTGGTGCCCGTTGGTCAGCTGAGCGGCACTCCCGCCATGGGAGTGCAATGACCACCAAGGGGCAGCTCCCGCGTTGAGCGTCTGCCCCCTGGTGGTCAGTGTGCATTATAGCAACCGGTCAAACGGTCAACTGGTCTACTGATCACTTAGGGTTTTATAAACAAGATGTAAACGAGTGGATAGAGTGTCGGTCTGCAGACCAAAAGATCCCAGGTTTGATTCCGGTCAAGGGCATGTACCTTGGTTGCGGGCACATCCCCAGTAGGAGGCAGCTGATCAATGTTTCTCTCTCATCCATGTATCTAGCTCTCTGTCCCTCTCTCCCTTCCTCTCTGTAAAAAATCAATAAAATAGCTGAGACCGGTTTGGCTCAATGGATAGAGCATCGGCTTGGGGACTGAAGGGTCCCGGGTTCGATTCCGGTCAAGGGCATGTACCTTGGTTGCGGGCATATCCCCGGTAGGGGTGTGCAAGAGGCAGCTGATCGATGACTCTCTCTCATCATTGTTTCTAGCTCTCTATCTCTCTCCCTTCCTCTCTGTACAAAATCAATAAAATATTCAATAAAAAAAAAAAATAAAAAAAATTAAAAAAAAAAAAGATGTAACCTCGTAGCAATGAATGCTGGGAGCTCCTGGGACTCCCGATCTGTTGGGGGTGGGGAGCTGTCTGGGGAATTTCTAGAAGTGAACTCACCTTCCCGGGAGGCACAGGGAGCAGGGGGAGCCTCCACGCACGTAAGGACACACGTGTGCCCGCACACGCACGCTCTGCCGTCATGCGGCCCTTGGGTTGCTTCCAGCTCCCCATGTGACACCTGCAGGACGTGGGTCTGAGCCGGGGTGGACACACCTGGCGGGAGGGCATTTCAAGGTCGCCCCGGCCTTCCTTCCTGGGCTCCCCCGAGCCCCCACTCTGCACACGGGAGGCCCGGCCCCTCGGAGTCAGGACGCTAGCCGGCGAAAGGGCAAAGGGCACCTTCTCACGGTGCCTGGGACAGACGCGCTGGAATGAATGAACTTGACCTTGAGTGACTCACTTCCGGGGACGGCACAGCCCGGGCCTGCGTGTCGAGGCCCCTCCTGGGAAGCGGGCGGACCCGGTTCCTTTCCGGGGGGGGAACCTGACAGGTTGTGTACCTTCTCAGCCACGGGGCCTCCCTGCAGCTCGGGGTGACCCGGCCACCTCCCGCCTCCGCTGGAGGCGCCCCGTTAACTGCTGTAGGGGGAGCACCCCGAACCAGTTCCACAAAGAGTCCTCAGCCCTCACTGTTACTGTTATTAACGGTAGGATCGCCGAAACCGGTGTGGCTCAGTGGATAGAGCTTCGGCCTGCGGACTGGAAGTTCCCGGGTTCGATTCCGGTCAAGGGCATGGACCTTGGTTGCGGGCACATCCCCAGTAGGGGGTGTGCAGGAGGCAGCTGATCGATGATTCTCTCTCATCGATGTTTCTAACTCTCTATCCCTCTTTGTGAAAAATCAATAAAATATTTTAAAAAATAAAAAAATACTTTAAAAAAATTGTAGTATCGCCTTATCCGAGGTGGGCAAACGGCGGCTCATGAGCCACATGCGGCTCTTTGGCCCCTTGCGTATGGCTCTTCCACAGAAGACCACGGCCTGGGCGAGTCTGTGTTGAAGAAGTGGCGTTAGAAGAAGTTTAGGTTTAAAAAATGTGGCTCTCCAGGCGAAACCGGTGTGGGTCAGTGGATAGAGTGTCGGCCTGCGGACTGAAAGGTTTCAGGTTCGATTCCGGTCAAGGGCATGGACCTTGGTTGTGGGCACATCCCCAGTAGGGGATGTGCAAGAGGCAGCTAATCGATGATTCTCTCTCATTGGTGTTTCTAACTCTCTATTCCTCTCTCTTCCTCTCTGTAAAAAATCAATAACATATATTTATAAAAAAAAAGTGGCTTTCCAAAGAAATTTCAATCATTGTGCTGTTGGTATTTGGCTCTGTGGATGAATGAGTTTGCCGACCACTGCTAAGTTCCCTGAACAAATAGACGGATCCCCGATAATTATATGACCAATTACAAATGGCAGTTAGCTGCCATCTAAAACAGATGCCCTAAGAGGGGGAGGGAGGGAGGGAGGGAATACCAGTGTATCAATAATGAGATTTATGAGCTCCTGCTTTATTCTCTTTCTCATTTTTTAAATGGGTTGCAGGCTCCATACCTAGTAGGGGCTGTGCAGGAGGCAGCCAATCAATGATTCTCTGTCATCATTGATGTTTCTCTCTCTCTCCCTCTCCCTTCCTCTCTGAAATCAATAAAAAAAATATCTATACTAATAAAAGGGTAATATGCTAATTAAACCAGATTGACCGACTTCTCTCCCTCCCTCCCTCCCCCTCTTAGGGCATCTGTTTTAGATGGCAGCTAACTGCCATCTGTAATTGGTCATATAATTATCGGGGAGGTAAGGTAGGGGCGATCAGACCAGGAGGGGGCAAGGTAGGGGTGATCAGGCTGGGAGGGGGGCAAGGTAGGGGCGAGCAGGCCGGCAGGCAGAGGGTTAGGGGCGAGCAGGCAGGCAGGCAGGTGGTTAGGAACTAATTGTCCCGGATTGCGAGAGGGATGTCCAACTGCCGGCTTAGGCCTGGTCCCTGCGGAGACAGACGGTGCAGGCCGGACTGAGGAACGCCCTCTGTGTATGGATTTCGTGCACCAGGCCCCTAGTTTAAAATAAATAAAACATGGTTACCGAGAAATCAGAATTAGAACCACAGACGCTGCTCCCTGAGGATGCTGCCGAGGTGAGAGCCCGGAGAGACGAGCCCTCGGCCTCACCGCGGTGACACGTCCCCTGTTCTAAGACGGTGCCCTCTCTCCTCTCCCAGGAACACGGCTTCGTGCAGAAGTTCGAGCCACGGCCGGGCTGGCCGGCCTTCCTGGGGGCGGCGGCCCAGGTTCTGCTCTGCGTGCTGAGGCAGCTGCCCTGACCGCCGGGACCGGCCTTGGGAGACGGGGACTCTTGCGAGAGGCATTGCCGACGCTCACGTCTCCTCCTCCTCCTGAGCAAACGGCCCTCGTGCTGCAACCGGAGGGCACGGACTCTCTGCCCCGTTTCCATGCGGTGACCAGATTTTCACGTTGGTAACGCCAACGGGACACCACTGACTGGGGTGGGGGTGGGGGTTCTTGATTCAAACTGTGGTCTATATGGAGCAACAAACATTTTCATAGAACACAAACATAGTATTGTAATATATTTTTTTACGTTTCAACATAAGTACAATTTACAAATATGATAAACAAATAAAAATGATGTATAGTATTATTTTATTCTTTGGCATATTTCTCATTTGAGTGGATTTTTTTTTAGTAGATTGCTGTCGTCGTTGAAAAGGTCACGAAATTGCCAAAGCCGGTGTGGCGCAGTGGATAGAGCGTCGGCCTGCGGACTGGAAGGTCCCAGGTTCGATTCCGGTCAAGGGAATGTGCCTTGGTTGCGGGCACATCCCCAGTGGGGGAGTGTGCAGGAGGCAGCTGATGGATGTTTCTCTCTCATCGATGTTTCTAACTCTCCATCCCTCTCCCTTCCTCTCTGTAAAAAATCAATAAAATATATTTTTTTAAAAAGGTCATGCAACGTTTCACAAGAATTTGTTAAATTATATTTCACACATACTGTAAAATGACTTTCAACGTCTCAACACTGAATTGTGATTTTCCTGACGTCCACACTTCATTTACCGTAGAAAAAACGCATTCAGTCGCAGCATTAGTTCCCGGTAAGGACACTATGTATTCCACAATTCTAACAACTGATCGACCATGCAAACTTGGATAAGTAGTTCTCAACAATTATTTGTTATTATTAAAGTTTAACAGTACAAAATTAACAAAAATAATATAAAACTCACATCCTGGCTAAATAGCCACCTGGCCATCGAAACCATATATTCCCTTCCTGTTCTCCACCGTTCCCTAGCTTGTCGTGCATTCTTTCCAAACATCGGGACTTTTTTTTTCTTCTTTTTAATATATTTTATTGATTTTTTACAGAGAGGAAGGGAAGGGGACAGAGAGCTAGAAACATCGATGAGAGAGAGACATCGACCAGCTGCCTCCTGCACACCCCCCACTGGGGATGTGCCCGCAACCAAGGTCCATGCCCTTGACCGGAATCGAACCTGGGACCCTTCAGTCTGCAGGCCGATGCTCTATCCACTGAGCCAAACCGGTTAGGACTGTGCTCCGACTTTTAAAAATATAATTTTTGTTGATTTTACAGAGGAAGGGAGAGGGAGAGAGACACATCCATGATGAGGTAGAATCACAGATCGGCTGCTTCCTCCACGCCCCCCACTGGGGTTGGAGCCCCCCAACCTGGGCGTGTGCCCTGACCGGGAATTGAACCCGGACCTCCTGGGTCCTGGCTCAAGCATGGAGCCACGCCAGCCGGGCGAGGTCAGCAAATACACCTTCCCACTCCTCCTCCTCCTCCTCCTCCTTCTCCTGCTTCTCCTCCTCCCACCTCACCGTCTCCACCCCTTGGGGTTTGCCTTGCTCTGCTTGGACGTTGTAGGCGGATCCCCATTTTCCCCTGCAGGAAACAGGCTTACACGCAGAAAGTCTGGGGTCCAAGGTCATGGGGTTGGTGGGCGGGTCACTGAACACCCAGGCCCTCGCTGGTCCTCAGGGCCAGAGCGGCCTTCACGGCCTCGCTTCCTCCTGGTCAGATGGGACTGCCAGGCCCTCGGTCCCCCCCACCCCTGGCAGGAGCCGGAGCTGCCGGCCAAGGTCAGCCGGGTGACCTGGGCTGCCCACCCACAGGGCGTGTCGTCAGCACCCGTGACTGTCCCGTGTCTTCCCCGCGGCATCGCCTGACTTAAAGCCAGCCGGTGGCCACTGTTTTGAATCTGGAAACTTCTACCGCAGGGTGAGGGCTGCCGACGGGGGAGGGCTGCTTTGTATAATTCCGTATGGAAATAAACCCCTTGCTTTATTATTATTATTTTTAAATCTTTTTTTTATTTATTTCTGAGAGGAAGGGAGAGAGGAACATCTGAAGGGAATGATTCTTGATGCCTGCGATCCCGCTGCTTTGTGTTAAGAGCAGTGCCTGGACCAGGCCCTGACAAATTATGCCTTTCTGAAGATTCTTTTAAATTTCAAAAATGAAATATACGTTAATAAATGCTGGTTTTATCACCATTCAAAGCGTGTATACTTTTTTTTTGGGGGGGGGACACCTGTCTATACTAATAAAAGAGTAATATGCCAATGAGACTGGACATCTTTTGGACAAAGCCACGGTCACGGGGGCCAAGGCGAGACGGTTAGGGACAATGAGGCCAGCAGGGGAGAGCAGTTAGGGGAGATCAGGCCGGGACAGGGGAGAGCAGTTAGGGGCGATCAGGCAGGCAGGGGAGGGCAGTTAGGGGCGATCAGGCAGGCAGAGGAGAGCAGTTAGGGGTGATCAGGCAGGCAGGGGAGGGCAGTTAGGAGGTTTAGGCTGGCAGCAGAGGTGATTATCGGCCATCAGGAAGGCAGGAGTTCCAGATTGGAGAAGGTGCAGGCTGAGCTGAGGGATGCTTCCCCAACACCGTCGTGCATTAATTTCGTGTATGGGGCCCCAGTATTTGTACAGTTATTTCTGTCTTCAGCCTTATGGCATTTCGTCAAAATAGTCCAAAGTTACTCAAGCTCTCCGCCCACTTGGTTGTGGTTATGTTAATCATTTGCAATGCAGTTCACTTTGGTCCCTGCTTGGGTTGCATCCTGGCTCCCTCCCCTACCCTTCCCCCACCCCCACGCACACCCCAGTTGTATGCACGTCTGTCTGTGAAACGTGACCGTGGTCCTAGCAGGGCTATGCAGAAACCAGGAGCAGTAGAGAAATGCCCCTTTCTCCTCCTTGCTGCTACTCCCCGCCCGTTCCCCATTCCACCCTTCTCACACCCGTTCCCGCCCGGGCGCCCACACTCAGTCAGGCGCTGGCTTATACACGTAGCGCATCTTCCCCGCAAATGAATGGAAACATTTATGTTTTCTTTCATGCCTTTTTATTTTATGGAGATACCATTTGCATGGAATTAACCCTTTTATCTTTTTAAAAAACACATATTTCTTTTTTTTCTTTTTTTAATATATTTTATTATTTTTAAAAATATATTTTATTGATTTTGTACAGAGAGGAAGGGAGAGAGTTAAGTTAGAAACATCGATGAGAGATAGACATCGATCAGCTGCCTCTTGCACACCACCTCCTGGGGATATGCCCGCAACCAAGGTACATGCCCTTGACCGGAATCAAACCCGGGACCTTTCAGTCCCCAAGCCGACGCTCTATCCACTGAGCCAAACCGGTTTCGGCTCTTTTTTCTTTAAAAAAAGATATATTTTATTGATTTTTCACAGACAGGAAGGGAGAGGGATAGAGAGCTAGAAACATGGATGAGAGAGAAACATCGACCAGCTGCCTCCTGCACACCCCCCACCGGGATGTGCCCGCAACCAAAGTCCATGCCCTTGACGGGAATCGAACCCGGGACCCTTCAGTCCACAGACCAACGCTCTATCCACTGAGCAACACCGGTTTCGGCAATACATATTTATTGATGTCTGAGAGGGAGAGGAAGAGAAACATCTGTGATGAGAGGATCATGGATCAGCTGCCTCCTGTCCGCCCCCTAGTGGGGATCGAGCCCACAAACCAGAGGTGTGCCCTTGACTGGGAATCAAACCCGGGACCCTTTAGTCCGCAGGCCGACCCTCTATACCACATGTGTCAAACACAAGGCCCTCGGGCCAAATCCGTCCCGCCAGGCCTTGCAATGTGGCCCGCACCTTGCTGTCATCACTGCACTCCGCTGCGTTTCCATGACAATGACAGTTTATGACTGTCCAGTAAACCATTCGGCCCCCGATTTAGGCTGGACTTTAGATTTTGGCCCCTTCTCTGATTGAGTTCGACAACCCTATCTATGCACTGAGCCAAACCGGTAGGGGCGGAACTGACCCTTTTAAAACATACAATTCCGTGCTTGTTAGCATAGTCAGCATGGCACCACTGGCACCGCAGCTGAGTTTTAGGACGTGGTCATCATCCCCCAAAAAAATCCCGAACTCTAGTGCCCTCGGCCCCCCAGGCCGTGGCAGCCACTCAGCTGCTTTGTGACCTGGGCCTTTCCTATACCTGGGATCATAAAACACGAAACCCATTTGGCTCAGTGGACAGAGCGTCAACCTGTGGACTGAAGGGTCCCGGGTTCGATCCCGGCCAAGGGCATGTGCCTTGGCTGCGGGGGTGTGCAGGGGGCAGCTGATGGATGGTTCTCTCTCATCCATGTTTCTAACTCTCTATCCCTCTCTTCCTCTCTGTAAAAAGTCAATAAAAAATATATTTTTAAAAAAGTTCATGTCCTTACCCGTGGGGGGGGGGGGTTCCCCGAGCGGCCTGACCTGACCTACAGGAGTCCGTCTCCCACCTGGAGGACCCGGGGAGGCGCCCTCGCCCCCCGATCCAGGTGGAGGCCCCGCAGGGAGGAAGGCCCGGTGCCTCCATGGTTTCTGCCGGCGCTCGGCCGCCATCGGAGGAGCGAACCCAGCTTGTCACCCGGCCACCCCGCCGAGGGTCCCGGAGCGGGTCAGGAGCCGGGGTGGCCCGCGCAGGTCAGCTCCGCGGGGCGTGGCGGGGGCGGGGCGCTCGCAGCCCGGAAGCCGCCAGACCCTCCCGGGCCTGCGGACCAGCGGCACCGACGGAGCGAGAGGGCGGCCTGCACCCCCCCATGGCGGCGGCGGCTGTGAGCGGCGCCAAGCGGAGCCTGCGGGCCGAGCTGAAGCAGCGCCTGCGGGCCATCAGCGCCGAGGAGCGGCTGCGCCAGTCCCACCTCCTGGCCCAGAAGGTGCGCGATCGCGGGGACGGCCGCGGTGGCGGCCCCGGTGTGGGCCCTCTTGGCCGCTCGGCGCGGGTTTCCGGATCTGCGCAGGCGCGGGCGCAGGCGCAGGCGCGCGCATCCTCCCTCCCCGTGTGCGTGCGTCCCCGAGCGCGCGTTCACCCACAACGCGCACGCGCACGCTTGTTTCCCCGCCCCCCAGGCGCGCGCGCGTTTCCCCCTCGCCCCTCCCTCCGCCGCACTTCCGGCAACCGCGGGGCGTGCCTACGTCCCACGCACGACGTGCGTACGTCCCCTCCCTCCGGCACGCTCACGTGCTTTGGAGCGTGTCGGGGCGCAAGAAGGCGCGAGGTCCCGGAGGGCGGGCGGCTGTGGGGATGGCCGTGAGGGCGGAGCGGTGACGCCCTGTTCCCGGGAGGCGGACAGTCACCCCTGGGGGCGCGAGGCGGTCCCGCCGAGGTGCCTTCTGTCAGCGTTTGAGGTGGGGAACCCAGAGGAGGCGGGAAGGTCCCTCTCGGTGAAATGGCGGGAGACTCGGGGCGCCGGCGGCCCCGTGAGCGAAGGCCGCCCTGACTGAGCCTGTCAGCGGGTGACAGGACGTGCTTTATTTTTCCGAGTGAATGAGAGAAAACATGGATTCTCCCGCTGCCCGCGAAGGTGGGGAGCCACTGGGGTGACCGGCGGAGGGGACTGAGCGGGGGTTCCAAACCCGCCATTGCTTCCTCTCACCGCTGCCTCGTGAGATACAGTAGGGGTGTCGAACTCAATCAGAGAAGGGGCCAAAATCTAAAATCCAGCCTAAATCGCGGGCCGAATGGTTTACTGAACAGTCATAAACTGTCATTGTGATGGAAACGCAGCAGAGTGCAGTGATGACAGCGCGGTGCGGGCCACATTGCAAGGCCTGGTGGGACGGATTTGGCCCGCGGGCCTTGTGTTTGACACATGTGAGATACAGGGTGCCCCCCCCCCCCCAAAAAAAAAAAACGGACACACACTTTGAGTGCTTACTAATTCCAATGGTTTAAGTGTGAAAAGAAGAAACAGCAGTGGAGCTGCCAGCTGTTCAAAGTGGACCTGCTTTTGGGGGGACACCCTGTGTGCCAGGCTGTTGAGGGGATGGGGGTTGGTTTGTCTAAAGGTGTCGGGGGGACTGATTTTGGTGGCACACCAGAGGAAAAAAAATCCATGTCCTGGGAGGAGGTAAATACTAGTAACTTTTAAAATATTCCAGAGGCCCCGTGCAAGAGAATGTGTGCATTTGCGGGGTGAGAGGGGGGTCCCTCAGCCAGGCCTGTGCCCTCTGGCAGTGCAGTGCGGGACCCCTGGGGGGATGTCCACCTGCCGGCGTAGGCCCCTCCCCTGGGGGATCCGGCCTGAGCTGACAGTCAGACATCCCCCTGGCGTCCCGAGCCCTCAGCAGGAGCAGGCCTACGATCAATAAAAATATCCTGCCGAGACCGGTTTGACTCAATGGATGCAGCATCGGTCTGCGGACTGAAGGGTCCCAGGTTCGATTCCGGTCAAGGGCATGTACGTACGTTGGTTGCGGGCACATCCCCGGCAGGGGGCGTGCAGGAGGCAGCTGGTCGATGTCTCTCTCTCATTGATGTTTCTAGCTCTCTATCCCTTTTCCTTCCTCTCTGTAAAAAATCAATAAGATATATATTTTTAAAAATAAAAGTATCCTATCTAATAAAAAAAAAAAGTAATATGCAAATTAGCTATCACTCTGCTACACCCACCAGCCAATCAGGAGCGAGTATGCAAATTAACCCAAACAAGATGTCTGCGGCCACAGAGTGAGCAGAAGGTTTGGGTGGACATCCTTTGCGCTATGGAGGCATAAGGGGCTCCCACCATTGTTGCCGGGCTGGCAGGTGTCAGCCTGGCTGTGGCTGACTGGAGCTCGCCTTGTGGGAGTTCCTGCCTTGAGTGTCTGCCCCCTGGTGGTCAATGCATGTCATAGCGACCGGTTGTTCCTTATTGTTCAGCATTAGGGTCAATTTGCATATTAGCCTTTTATTATATAGGACTGGAGGCCCAGTGCATGAAATTCATGCATGGGTAGGGTCCCCTAGGCCTGGCTGACAATTAGGACTGATCAGGTTCTCCTCCCTCCCTCCTCCCTGCCTCCTTCTTCCCTCACTTGCTCAGCACCCCACTGCTGCTGGTTGCCTGCCATGATCCATGCTGCCCCCTGGTGGTCAGCACACATCATAGTGGGCAATCAAATTCCTGTTCTCCTGGTCGAACTCCAGAGGGAACACTTTGCATATCAGCTTTTTATGTATGTAGATAAAGGCTTGATGCTCGGGTCGAGGCCAGCTGGTTTGTCCTGAAGAGTGTCCTGGGTCAGGGTGGGAGTTTCCTTAGGGTGTGGGGCAGCCTGGTTGAGGGGCCTGTCATTGTTTGCAGGCTGGACATGCCCCCCCCGGTAACCTAAGCGGAGACCCTGGGATCCGGGATTTATTGATCTTCTATAATTGAAATTTTGTCACCTTGAGCCGAGGCCTGGGCCAGCCAGGGTGTGCAGAAAGCTTGGCTTCCTCCATCACCAGGGAAACCCAAGCCTCCTGCTTGCTTAGTGGGCGTGGCCATTTTTGTTGGGATTTATTTATCTTCTATAATTAAAACTTTGTAGCCTTGAGTGGAGAGGTCAGGGGCAGCCTGGAAGTTTTTCTTCTTCCATCACCAGGGAAACCCAAGCTTCCTGCTCACTCCACGGCTGCAGAGATCTTGGTTGGGTTAATTTGCATACTTGCTCCTGATTGGCTGGTGGGTGTAGCAGAGTGATGGTTAATTTGCATATCACTCTTTTATTAGGTTTTTTTTTTTTAATATATTTTATTGATTTTGTACAGAGAGGAAGGGAGAGAGACAGAAAGCTAGAAACATCGATGAGAGAGAGTCATCGACCAGCTGCCTCTTGCACACCCCCCACTGGGGATATGTCCGCAACCAAGGTACATGCCCTTGACCGGAATCGAACCCGGGTCCCTTCAGTCCCCAAGCCGACGCTCTATCCATTGAGCCAAACCGGTCTCAGCTATTAGGATATTTTTATTGAGCTCAGAGAGGAAGGGAGAGGGAGCGAGAGAAACATTGATGATGAGAGAGAATCATGGATCAGTTGCCTCCTGCACGCCCCACACTAGACATGGAGCCCACAACCAGGGCATGTGCCCTTGACCCTCATGACCTCCTGGTTCATAGGTCAACCTTCAACCACTGAGCCATGTCGGCTGGGTCAGAGTTTCTTGAATACCCTTCACTCTTCTGTCATCCATTAGTTTCTCACATGCAAGATTTCTCTAGGTGAAAGCAGTGGAATTCACAGCATTCCACCCCTTCCTTCACACACGTAGGTCTCTCCAAGGCCATCCAGTGAGAGACCACTGAGAGCTGGCATCAGAGGAGGGGAGAGAGAGAAATTAAAAGGCTTGATAGCCCACAGCTGCCCTCCCTTGCAGGCCTGGTCCCTCCCAACTGCCATCCTCTGCTAGCCATCTTTAATGGTGGCTCTCTTGTTGTTGGGGTGATGGTCAATTTGCATATTACCTCTTTAGTATATAGGACACTTCCTGTGCTATACTTTATTATTTTTTTTTAATATATTTTATTAATTTTATACAGAGAGGAAGGGAGAGAGATGGAGAGTTAGAAACATTGATGAGAGAGTCATCGATCAGCTGCCTCCTGCACACACCCTACAGGGATATGCCCGCAACCAAGGTACATGCACTTGACAGGAATCGAACCTGGGACCCTTCAGTCCCCAAGCCGACGCTCTATCCATTGAGCCAAACCGGTCCCGGCGCTGTGCTATACTTTCTACTGGTTCAACCCACCCCTTTCTTAATCCTTTTATTTTGTGTTTTGGCTTTCTGAAATATTGGATGAGCCTCTACTGTCTATACCTATTTATGAATGAGAGTGTGACAGCTAATGGGGATTTCCTTTGCCTTCTGTAGTCACTTTGGAATTCCCTGAGAGAATGGATGCTGCCTGCCCTATGTCCATTGTGTTCTCTGAGTGCTGTGATCTGCTGCCGTTATGTGTGTAAACTCTCTCCCATCCGCTCTCTGACTTATATAAACGAGTCAGATCTCTCTTCTCTTGTTCTCAGTGTTGTAATGTGTTTGGTTGTGTGTTTTTTTAATTATTATCTGTGTACATATTTTAATATTAGCACCCCCCCTTCCATACATACCCTCCCTCCCCAGAGTTTTGTGTCCATTGGTTGTACTTATATGCATGTATACAAGTCCTTTGGTTGATCTCTTATCTCCCCCAGATCTCCCTAACAGTGTTGTAATGTTTTTTTACTGCGGACTCAAGAGTCCCAGGTTCGATTCCCGTCGAGGGCATGTACCTTGTTTGCAGGCACATCTCCAGTGGAGGCAGCTGATTGATGTTTCTCTCTCATCTATGTTTCTAACTCTCTCTCCCTCTCCCTTCCTCTCTGACATCAATAAATATATATATTTTAGCCATGACCGATTTGGCTCAGTAAATATAGGGTCGGCCTGCAGACTGAAGGGTCCCAGGTTCTATTCTGGTCAAGGGCATGTACCTTGGTTGTGGGCACATCCCCAGTGGGGGCGGTGCAGGAGGTAGCTGATCGATGTTTCTCTCTCATCGATGTTTCTAACTCTCCCTCTCCCTCTCTCTAACAAATCAATAAAATATATATATATATTTTTGAGTTAATGTTCTTTTTTTTTTAATTATTTTTTATTTTACTGATTTTGTACAGAGAGGAAGGGAGAGAGATAGAGAGTTAGAAACATCGATGAGAGAGAGTCATCAATCAGCTGCCTCTTGCACACCCCCTACTGGGGATATGCCCGCAACCAAGGTACATGTCCTTGACCGGAATCGAACCCGGGACCCTTCAGTCCCCAAGCTGACGCTCTATCCATTGAGCCAAACCGGTTTTGGCAAAAAAAAAAAAAAAAAAAAAAAAAAAAAAAAAAAATATATATATATATATATATATATATATATATTTTTTTTTTTTTTTTTTTTTTTTTTTTTTAAAGAAGTTGAAGACGGCGGGGGTGGGGGGGAATGTTGCCACTGTTCGGGGAGTCCCTGATTTTTTGAAAGCCTCACCTCGGCCAATGTCACGCCATGGCTTCCCACACAGGTGATCGCCCACAGCCAGTATCAGAAGGCCCAGAGGATCTCCATCTTCCTGAGCATGCCCGACGAGATCGAGACCGACGAGATCATCAAGGACATTTTCCGCCGCGGCAAGACCTGCTTTATCCCCCGGTACCGGTTCCAGAGCAGACACATGGACATGGTGCGGTTAGCGTCGCCCGAGGAGATCGCTTCGCTCCCCAAAACATCCTGGAATATCCCTCAGCCTGGCGAGGACGAGGCTCGGGAGGAGGCCTTGGCCACAGGTGAGCATGCGGTGCCAGGATGGGCATCCTAGGTGCTGAGAGACTGTGATGAGTTATTCTTATTTATTTTTTTAAATTATGTTCAATTTCTCTTGAACTCTATTCTTTTCTCCCCCCCCCCCCGCCATATATATTTTATTGATTTTTTACAGAGAGGAAGGAAGAAGGAGGGAGAGAGAGAAACATCGATGAAAGAGAAGCATTGATCGGCTGCCTCCTGCACACCTCCTGCTGGGGATGTGCCCGCAACCAAGGTCCATGCCCTTGACCGAAATCGAACCTGGGACCCTTCAGTCCGCAGGCCGACGCTCTATCCACTGGGCCACACTGCTTTTGGCCAACGCCTCACCCTTGACCTCCATGTATGTGACCAGTTTCTGGTGAATGACGGCAGTGAGAAGAGGAAGGGGGAAGCAGATCTTTCCTCTCAATGTAGTTGCATTTCCAGGTCTAAACATGAGCGCAGGCCGAAACCGGTGTGGCTCAGTGGATAGAGCGTCGGTCTGCGGACTGAAAGGTCCCGGGTTCGATACCGGTCAAGGGCATGTACATTGGTTGCAGGCACATCCCCGGTGGTAGGGGGTGTGCACGAGGCAGCTGGTCAATGTTTCTCTCTCATCTAGCTCTCTATCCCTCTCCCTTCCTCTCTGCAAAAAATCAATAAAATATATTTAATAAAATAAACATGAGCGCAGGCATTCACGTACGGCTTTTAGCACGTCGTCTCGCACATGTGAGCTGTTCGTGTAGCTATTATTAACTCTGAGCAAGGCACCGAGAAGTATTCGTTATGCAATCAACGCATTGCCTGTCGAGTGTGATACATTTTGATAATTTCCAGCAAACACGTCTGCGCATCTGCTTTGTGTCAGACACCTCGTTAGCTCGGGAAAGAGAGCGTCCAGGCCTTCCCAGGGCCCGGCTGTCGCTGGGGAGACAGAAGAATGTGTACATAGAATCAGCATCCCCACCTCTTAACATCTGTCAGATGCAAGTGTGAAATTAAAATGTACAGAATACTAGAGGCCCAGTGTGCGAAATTCGTGCAGGGGGGTTCCTCAGCCCAGCCTGCAGCCTCTCCAATCTGGGACCTCTTGGGGGATGTCCAACTGCTGGCTTAGGCCTGTGGGATCGGGCCTACATCGGCAATCGGACATCTCTCTCGCAATTCGGGACTGCTGGCTCCTAACAGCTCACCTGCCTGCCTGCCTGCTTGATCACCCCTAACCACTTACCTGCCTGTCTCATCGCCCCTAACCACTTCTGCCTCGGCCCCCGCTGCCTGGGCTTCGTCCGGAATGATGTCCAGAAGGTCGTTCGGCTATCCGGTCTAATTAGCATATTACACTTTTATTATTATAGATAATACAGAAACCCAGTGCTTGAGCCTGATTAGAAAAAGTCAGCTCCAACCTGGTTGCCCCTCCTCCACAGCATTATCCGCACGGTTTTCCCGACACAGGTCCCTCTCTCACCCGTGCTCCTCCCTGCAGGTACGCAGCGGGTAGCAGGCCGTCCCTGTTGCTTCTCTTGACTGCCGTCTGCACGCTGGCCCTCTCGCTATTACAGAGTCCACGTAGGCGGCCTCCGCGCTTCCTTATCTCCCAGTATCCCGTTCCGCCGAGGATTTTTCCTCGCGTCAGCAGCTCGGCGCTAAAGCATCCATCCAGCTTTGTGTGCCGGGAACAAGCTGATTAGAGCTGATTGTCAGCGGTGTGGCTTATGCAGCCAATTTATCTTCCTGGTTAGCTCACATTAGCATGGCCTAGAAAACGGCGAGGTGTCCTCCGGGGCGATAAGTTCCTCAGCACAAATGTCACACACGCTGTTTCTGTGTTAGGATTTTTTAAAAATCGACTGGAGAGAGATTTGTTGTTCCACTCGTTCATACATTAATCAGTCGGTCCTTGTCTGTGCCCTGACCGGGGACTGAGCCCACAACCTTGGCATAGCAGGACGATGCTCTAACCAACTGAGCTACCCAGCTAGGGCCCTGTTTTTATTTATTTACTAGAGGCCCGGTGCACAAAATGCATGCACGGGGGGCCCCCCTCAGCCCAGCCTGCACCTTCTCCAATTTGGGACCCCTCGAGTGATGTCCCAGGGATCGGGCCTAAACCAGCAGTCAGACATACCTCTCACAATCATAGAATCTGGTTCCTAATCGCTCACTTGCCCGCCTGCCTGATCGCCCCTAACTGCCCCCTCTGCCAGCCTGGTCACCCCTAACTGCCCCCCCCCGTCAGCCTGGTTGTCCCCAACTGCTCCCCCCTGCCAGTCTGGTCACCCCTCACAGCCTCCTCCCACTCCCCCACGGGCCTGGTTGCCCCACGCAGCCTGCTGTTCAATCATTTGGTTGTCCCTCACACCCCTGGTTGTAGGCTGCCATCTTGTGAGGATGTGAGGGTTAATTTGCATATTACCTCTATTATATAGGATTTTTTTTTTTTCCAGAGAAGAAGGGAGAGGGAGAGAGAGATAGAAACATCAGTGATGAGAAAGAACCATTGATCGGCTGCCTCCTGCACACCCCCTACTGGGTGCCCTTGACTGGAATTGAACCTGGGACCCTTCAGTCCGCAGGCCGATGCTCTATCCACTGGGCCACACCAGCCGGGGCTAGGGCCCCATTTTCTTGTGATGTGTACAGCAAAGCATCAGATTGGTAGATGAAGATTGGTAGAGACCTAAACATCCACAGAAGGGTGAGCTTTGGCGGTGGCCAGGTCAGTGTCGTTAGGATCCCCCTGTCTCTGACCTTGGACTCCGCTCCATACCCCTGCCGGCTGCGGACTGGCGTCGCGGCTGGACGAGAGGATGGGACGGACAGGCAGAGTGCAGGTGACCCCTGTGAGGATGCCGGGGTCCTTGCCCTGTTACCAGCACCGCCGTGGTGTTACCCATAATGCCCTGGGGAGACTGACACCGCTGTCCCCCAGCACTGTCTGACGTCGGGGAGAGTGACTTTTTTTTAAAATATATTTTGATTTTTTACAGAGAATGAGAGAGGGATAGAGAGTTAGAAACATCGATGAGAGAGAATCATCGATCAGCTGCCTCTCGCACATCCCCTACTGGGGATGTACCCGCAACCAAGTTCCATGCCCTTGACCGGAATCAAACCTGGGACCCTTCAGTCCGCAGACCAACACTCTATCCACTGAGCCACACCAGGTAGTGCCTCACCCATATTTTTAAAAACAAAGAGTTGGGCACTAGGTCTGAGTTTTCTTTTTTCTTTTTCTTTTTTAAACAGAATTTTCAGCACTTATTTAATAAATTCCATTCTTTATTTTTTTTTTAATATATTTTATTGATTTTGTAACATAGAGGAAGGGAGAGAGATAGAGAGTTAGAAACATCGATGAGAGAGAGTCATCGATCAGCTGCCTCTTGCACACCCCCTACTGGAGATATGCCCGCAACCAACGTACATGCCCTTGCCGGGAATCGAACCCGGGTCCCTTCAGTCCCCAAGCCGACGCTCTATCCACTGAGCCAAACCGGTTTCGGCTAGGTCTGAGTTTTCGAAGCCACCACGCAGGCCTCCCCTGGGCTGCCAGGTCAGCATGGGGCCCCTTTCGTCCCCAGAATTCTGGTTCGCTTTCCCAGGGGAGCCCTCGCGCTGAGTCAGGCGTCTCTAAAAGACACCGGTCATGTCCTAACCAGTTTGGCTCAATGGATAGAGCGTCGGCCTGCGGACTGAAAGGTCCCAGGTTCGATTCCGGTCAAGGGCATGTACCTGGGTTGCGGGCACATCCCCAGTTGGAGGTGTGCAGGAGGCAGCTGGTGAATGTTTCTCTCTCATTGATGTTTCTGACTCTCTAATCTTCTCCCTTCCTCTCTGTAAAAAATCAATTAAAATAAATATATTTAATAAATAAATTAATTAAATTAAATAAAAGACACCTGTCATAAGCTCAGGTTACACACACGCGCACACACACGCACACACACACACACACACACACACACACACACACACACACCCCGGCTATTTGATACACAGGGAAACACGCGGAGGAAGTTCCAAGGCTTACACGGGCACGGGGTCTCCCGCTCCAATGACCAGGGCCCCCTATGGCTTCCGCGGAGCCGTTCAAAATTGTCTGCTGCGTCTTGTGCAGCAGCACGCCAAGACCACATTCTCACGTCCCAGCAGCAGTTTGCTTGCTGTTAACTCCCAGCCCATTAAGATGCAAAGGCGCTTCCTTCGGGGGCTCCGGCCTGTTGTTCTCGCCCGCGTGGGTGAGCCCGCCCCACGCTCTCCTCACAAACGACATCCACCGAGGGCGCCATCCAGCACTGAAGTGTCATTACAAGGCTGACCCAGGCGGCCGAGAGTGCCTGCACGCAGCTCGTCAGCCATTCAGCTCCTCTCGCAATTCGCCTTTTATCTCATTACCTTTCCCCAGACCTCAGAAACGCCTCTTAGGTGCATGCACGTGTCCGTATATGTTCAGTCCAGGGAAGTGGCAGATGTTTAATTTTAAGAGCGGTTTGAAGTGAGAAAAAAAAGAAATGGTTTTTCGTTGCGTGTTCTCGCCATCGCACCTCAAGCTAGAGCAGTGAGACCTGCGTGTACATCATGGCCGTCATGGGGGTACGGGGCTGTGCTGTTCGTCCCCCTCCCCTTCCTCTTTATTTCCTTCTGCAATTTATTGGGGTGACATCCTGTAGAATAAAAGGCTAATATGCAAATTTCCCCCTTGACCAGGAGGTCATCCAGCAGGCAGGCCGGCCAACCATCCATGTCCCCGCCCCCTGGCCAGGCTGGCCGGACCCCACCCATGCACAAGTTCATGCACCAGGCCTAATAAGTGTGTGTGTGTGTGTATGCCACTCTCTAAGTGGCCAGGTTATTATGCATTCAGAGATCATGATAATCTGGCCACTCGGTGTGTATAAAGCCAAGCGACCTGAATGACCAGAATGACTGGTTGCTATAACACACAATGGGGCCCGCCAACTGGCCTGATTGGGGATGGGGCCGGCCTGTC